CATCCTGATACTGTAGATTAGCACTGAGGTGCTGATTGGCTCAAACTCTTCGTCATCAGAGCGCCATATTTCAACCCCCCAATTGCTCTGCTTTTGTGTGGCTCATCAGTGAGCACTGTATGATCCCCCAGTGAAACGGAGGCTCATCCGCCTGCATTCCTTCTGCTATCTGCTTGAGAGCAGTGCAACTGCGTATTCCAAGTGGCGCATCCAGGTCTCCCCCTGTGATGGGAGAGGTTAGGAAGACATCTGCTCCTCCAAGAAACAAGGAACCTTGTATGAAGCCTCTGAAGTCCTCGCTCGTCCCGCAGGGTTGTCTGCCTGAGCCCACCGAGCAGAATGGTGAAGAAGCATCCCATCTCCTCAGATAGTTGAAGATTAGAATCCTCTCATCTCGAACGACCTCGTGCCTCCTTGCCCGTGGCTGGGGGTGCCCTCTGCAGCCGGAGAGTGTGATCCTCTCTCTCTGACCCTTGGCCTTCAGAGCTGTCCTAGTTATTGGGTTAACACTTGATAGGGATGTTTTCCTGAGTGCAGACAACTCAAAGTAATGGATTAGCACATTATCATTTAATTACAAAAATAGGATAGGCCCCTCAGAATTATTAGGGAGCCTTCCTGACACATGCACATGCATAAATGTAAGGTTTGTGTTGGTCATTTAACATGCAAGAATCATCAGTCCAAAGTAGAGATATTTTATTGTAATTTAAAGGTGAGCTAACCCTGCGGATATCACCCCTTCTCAATGATTCTAAATGTTATATTAATTCACCATTTACCGTTTGATAACATATTAGTTTATCAGAAATATTTTCCTCTTCCATAAAACAGGTTTGAGAAATAAATGTTCCAATATAAAATCAATTACTCAATATAATTGACTCTTCCCTCCCTTTTCTTACATATGTCACATATGAAATAATAACTTAGGAGTCTATTTAAGCATGGTGTAATCTATTACTCGAGAAGACTCAGTATCACCTGTGTGCAGCTTACAAAAACTATTGTGAGAAACATAGATTATGCAGGAAATGTATACTTTTGTTGAAGAACAAAGCATATCTGATTTGGGAGTAAAAACGTCATCCCCCTTAACATCTGAGTCACCACTGAAGGCATAGCATGAATGATAGTGGGCGTCTGAGGGTGTTATTACTGAGAAATGTCAAACAAATTCAAAACCTTACATTTGAAAACAGGTTTGCATTCCTCCACTTAAAGTGACGTTATCATTGGAAACAATAAAAGCTAATTGTTTTGATGTAGAATCTATCAATTGAATCGTTAGAGCAGAACAGAATGGTCGTATTGTAGCCTGAGTACCGTGCAGCCTTTAGTTTTACCAGGTGGAAACATTGTCCCTATAATGTGAATACATGTAGAACTAAGAGGCCCCTGACATTAGGCCTGTTTTAAAAATAGTAGGGGCTTTTAACAGCTTGCCAACCTACAGGCATCCTCTGCATAGCAGTATGAATAGCCTTAAAAAAACAACCCACTCTGCGGTAACGAGAGTCATGTGTCTGACCCAAATGCCCTAAGTGAAGCCGTTAGTCCCATCTGACTGACCCAAGGGTTGGTGCTGGTGTGACAGGGAGGCTTCCAGGTGTTCAAAGCAGATGTCAAGCTTTCAGTTCATGGCTCGGTGGGGGGGAGCAGACCCATGTGAGACAGTATCAGTTTGAGGAGCGTCATTGTCTCTGGGAGCAGGGAATGGTGTCCATTCTCGGACCAGACCATTAATGTCATTTCATGTAGAGCAGCCATAGCATCTCTGTGACTGCACTCAGCCGGACTGTAGCAGGGTAGAACTGGGTGACTCTTAGTGAAGCCGTCCAAGGCCATAGACAAAATGGAACCACGTACTAACAAAAGGGACACGAGGTCATCAATGTCTCTCTTTACCATTGGCCTAATTGCACAACAAATGAGTGGGGAAAAGAAATGTGGAGCACTAATCCATCATGTGAAATGTTGAGTTAATCTAAATAATTACTTATGGGTTGAAATCAAATTAACATTAGAACTAAAGTCAGTCAAAATTGGACTTTCCACGGATCAGAATCTAAGCAATACACCATTTTCCCAGCTCTGTAATGAAAAGGATAACAAGATTAGGTACATTACAGGAGTGTTAAAACACCCAAACATGCACACTTATCTTATTCTAGTAGAGATTAGAGGACAAGGTCTAATGTTGTGAACAAAATGATCAAGTCAAAGTTATGTTGTTTATTATATGTTATGTACCACATTTAATTTAATAATTAATCTTGAATTACTAATAACTTTAAAGAAGGCAACAATTTGGATAAAGTGAATACTCATCCAAAGTGTGTGTGTGTGTGTGTGTGTGTGTGTGTGTGTGTGTGTGTGTGTGTGTGTGTGTGTGTGTGTGTGTTGTGTGTGTGTGTGTGTGTGTGTGTGTGTGTGTGTGTGTGTGTGTGTGTGTGTGTGTGTGTGTGTGTGTGTGTGTGTGTGTGTGTGTGTGTGTGTGTGTGTGTGTGTGTGTGTGTGTGTGTGTGTGTGTGTGTGGGGGGGTGTGTGTGTGTGCTTGTCTGGCCAAGGTTTAGAACATTTGGGACAGCACAGCAGTGAGAATGTTATGAGAACCAATCTGTTGCTTAGACTAAACTCGAAGGAAGCTAGACTGGAACATTTTAAATAAATCAAAACACTTGCACATTAATTAAATACATTTGACATTTAGCTCGAGCTGGGTTCAATACTTTTCTTTATGGTATTTAAAATTGGGCTCGAATAGAACCCCTGGATTTGGCTTGCAACACAAAGTGATACTGATCTCTGTAGGACTTGGAAGTGTCTTAAAGCAATATAATCTTATTTTCTTCTTACACCTACAGCGCACACCCTGAACAGTGGGCTTCTTGTTTACATTTTCCTCTGCACACTCAGATGCAGGACATAAAAACACTCTTTTGCTATTTATTTTCATTTTGCAGCACATTTATGCGACCAGAATTTTGCTTTACATCTTTATATTATTTATTTTTCTCAAGTCATTTACTTTTGGTGAGATAACTAAAGTTTAGTTCATTTTACCCAGTCTATGGACTGATTCATTATTAGTTGTTACAAAACATACACAAGACGGCGGGTAGACAAACCAATATAGACCCCCCATACAAACAATCAGACAAACAAACATGAACTCGTAATAAACGCCAGCGCGACAGCAAAGCTCATCCAGCTCAATTTAGTCCGAATTAAGAGGTCTCAGAGGGGGTGGGGAATTATCTCCAGTGTGGCGTCTTGTCTCACGCACCCACCCTTGTATACAAGTTATAGATCGGTGCCTGAAAGCCGTCCAAGAGCGATAACTAGCTTATCCTCTTGCGACAACCACTACTCTTTTCTAGTGGCGCTGTGCCCCCCCGATCGGAGCCCACAGACTTTTCCCTCTTCCCTTTCTCTCCAAACGACAGCCCAGTTGACTGTAGTCTGATACGACCAGCCTATACACTTGCTATCGAGTTCACTTCAAGATGAAACATAGTTTGTTCTATGCTTGCTTGCCACTACCCACCTGTGATCAATTAGCCTATAATTTTATGTATGCACCCCTGACCGCCACCTGCTCCAGGGAACTGTGGCGCATCGGGTGATGCACGCACTTCGCGCTGGCCCGCCTTACCATGAGAAAGCGGTCCTAAACAATGAGTGCTTTTAGACCGTCCCATTTGTAGTAAAGACGGCGGTGTTGTGAGTTAAAGCCTATAGACAAAAACTGTGACTTTCTCCCTCTCAGCTGCACTGCTCCAGCCCCACAAACACGGGGAGGTTTTACACACACACACCCGCGGCTGCAGCTGGAGCCGCGTTTTACAGAGAGGCGATAGCAGTATTATATCTCTGGCTGCTTATTTTCAACTGCTGTGTTTGGCCGTTAAAACCCTCAGAATTCGGCGATTTGTCCAATACAAATCTTTTACATTGCTTTCAATTCACACAGAAGCTCCACTTCACTGATGCCTTTCTTTAAGGTCTCTCTAAACATGAGCTGTGTATGCTTGTATGGCACTTCCGTCCCGAGCAGCACACACAGAGGAAATCAGCCAGGACTGAGTCCCCAGACACTGATCTCCTGGGTTTATTATCCCCAAATGTTCATTAACCAAAAACGAAACGCAGCCGCTCAGTGTCACAGGTAATTTTAGGATACCGTCAATCACAGATTCTGGTAAGGCAATGTCCAAATGTAGATTTGAAAATCACACTTACCAGCTCTGAAGATTTGTTGGTATCCTGCCGACAACGCCAATTTGTAATGGAAACTTCTGTGTAGCAATGCAGTGGGAGTCACCGACTCAGGAAGGAGACACGGTGGAGCAGGAGCTTTGATGTCAAACACTGATGATTTATTTGGAGTTACGGCCGGAGGATTCACATCACAAGTCACAGCAGTCACGGTCTGACTGCACGGGTGGGTTGCCACGTCAATTCTGGAGCGCCTCTCTCTTGTTAGCCCATTTAACTGGTTTCACAGAGTAATCAACATATTTTGATAAGATAGCTTTAGACAGTTGGGCACACTGAGTTACTTGCGTCCGTCACTTATGGCCTCGAAGATGTCATACCTTGGAGTCCACAAACAACAAAGAAGGAAGTGTCCCAGTGCACCCACAACAACAGACCATCTGTGACCTAGTGTTGACCGGTGACAGAATGGGAACAATAACATTATGGCTGAAGCAGCCTGTGTCCTTAAAGGAGATAAACAGACGTCAGGGTTGGTCCTGTACGTCATATCTAGGAGTCTAGGACAATTATTTCCCTAACACTAATAATATTGAAACAGTGTACAAAAGCACCAGCTTAAAACGGAATAGACTTGCAAAAAAAGCTATGCAGCATTCACATTTTGTTCAAGAATGAAAACATGTAACAGTATGGATGAAGCTGCAAGTATTTGGCACAGCTTTAGTATTTACTCATATTTACATGCAGTATAATTCTTGTGATGGTCATTCTTCCAGAGCTCCCACATCCACCTCATCGATGCCCTGATGATGGCCTACATCCTGGAGATGATCAGCGTGGAGAAGGTGGTGTCCAGCGTCAGACGCTTCTCCAACGTCAGTGCCTCCAAGGAGCTGCCGTTCGACCTGGAGGACGCCATGTTGTTCTGGATCAACAAGGTGAGAGCAGAGCTGGTTTCTAACGAGTTGGATCTGTGCTTTCTTTATCTGTGCTGATCTACAGTGTGTTTGTGGCTGCAGGTGAACATCAAGATGAGGGAGATCCTGGAGAAGGAGCTGAAGATGAAGCAACATTTGATGGAGTCGCCCAGTCACCAGAAGGTGTTTTCAGCTTCCTCTGTTCAATTGTGTTTATTGTCTGTCTGGATTCTACATGCATGCATCCTGTCCTCACTGTTTGCATGAGGGGGTTTATTCATTGGATCTAGCTGGTTTATGATGAGCACCTCACATCACAATCTGATCACAGAACACATTTCAATTGTATTTTTTGTAACACTTTAGTTTGACGTTACTGAACTGAACTGTAGTTGTAGATACTGTACAGTTCTCATAATATGGGGGCTTTGGGGATGTAAATAAAGTAAAATGTTGCCATGGAGAGAGCAGCAATGATTAGTCGACTATCAATAAGTTGATCGGCAGAAATACTGTGTCAATTGTGTTGATCACTATTTGTTAGCGTCATTTGTAATGCAGATATGGCAGAACATGCTATTTTCAGGCTATAAAACATAGAGATGTTCTCTATCATATCATTTTAAAGTTAATTTCTTTGGGTCTTGGACTTACAAATCAATGCATTTAAAGACATTAACTTGGCTTTGGGATTTACATTCATCAGTATTTTCAGACATTTCATAGACCAACAGTTAATTCATTTCAGTTTAATAATTCAAATGCCATAATGCTTATTTGCTTACAATGAACTCTAATGCATCCAATCATTGTCCTCTTATCTGTCTAACCCTTTGTCTTTCAAATCAGATGTGTCTCCACGTTAACAGGAGAAAATCTGATTCCTTGGCTGCGTCTCACTTCGGTTATTTTTCATTTCCTCGCTCCTCGGTCTCGGTCTCACCGGAAGTTGATTTGTCTGCGCCATCTTGAGTAGCGTCCCAGTGGCCTTATTGGTGCCTGAGGATTGAGGAGCGAGGAGCGAAGATCGAGGAGCGATAACGGCGGAGCGATAACCGAGGAACCACCAGACCATCCTTCGATGAAATCCTCAGACACTCGCCCCGCCCCCTTACTGTGTATCACTCACTGATTGGACGATGCAGTGCATGCATTGATCTGATGCTTCTTGACATGAGAGCAGTTTCCCAGCGGAGTGAAGAAAACACATGAACCTCACGAGAGTCACTCATATCTCTTTTTCTTCTCTCAATTATTTTATTTCTATTGTGCACTCTAATCAATATTAATCAAACTATTGTTCGTTTATACATTTTAAGAATGGCGTTTATCTTTTTTGAGAATGAGTTCTTATTTTATTTTATTTATTGGGGTCTACAACAGATGATACAAATGTTTGTGTCAGTAAATGTGTACTAACAGAGGCGGGGGGGGACAGAGCTGCTGTCAGACGATCAGCTGTGCAGCGTCATCACAAACGGACGTCGCCGTGACGCTCCGGAGGAAAGGACGTCCCATTGCTCTTAAAACTCATTTCCCTTCTTCTCGTGGTTTCCTTGCGTCTCTCCATGCTTCCCTGGTGGGAGGGACTAGTCACAGGGAAACAACGCAAGTGAGGGACGCAAGGAATCCATTTAACCGAAGTGAGATGCAGCCCTTGTCACTGTTTCTGACCCTTGACCTGTCTGCTGCTCTTCCTGTTTGTGTCTCCCCAAACTCTCCTTTCCTTCCTGCCTCCTGGATACTAGTCTCCCTCCAAATGGTACTGGAAGCTTGTACCTGTAAGTGCAACCGCTTAAAAAACTTCCTGTGTGAGTGTACGTATGTGTGTGTGTGTGTTAAATCAGACCGAGCAGAAAGGAGCCAACAGTGCCCCTTGGTGGCAACGATAGGCACACCGGGCATTATTACCATAATGCCTGGAGAGGAGTCCCATCATCCACACAGCTCGCACCATTTCATTCTTTCTTGCATCACTTCATTAATTTCCTCCCACTCATTTCTCTCCCTCCCCAGCCTGATATGTTGCATGCTCTGGCCAGCAGCTTATATGAGCCCGTGGAGTTCTCTCAAATGGTAATGTACTCACCATCGAACCTTTCCTTTAATTAATCCTCACCTTCATTATTTCCCCTTGTGTAATCACGCATCACATGCACCAGCTACTGAACCCTCCTTAGTCTAAGACTCTAAGTGATCATTAGGGTTGGGAACCGAAACTCGGTTCCAGATGAGAACCGATAAGAAAATGCCGGGTACCGGGTACCCATACAAAATACACAATTTCGGTTCTGCTTAACGGTTCCTAAACGCGGTAGACCCTGTATTCCAGCGGGTCCGTCTGCACCGCGGTGCTGCGGTGACCCGGTGGAATACAGGGCGGACCTGGAGAATCACAGAACGGCCGGTCGTCAGCGGGCCGTTGACGGCCGGCTCGGTACGCTGACGGCCGGCACCGCCCTTCATTTTTTTAAACGGCATCATATAAATTGCGCTGACAGGCGACAGAGGTCCACAGTTGCCCCGCAGCGATGCTCCCCCGCCCTCCCGTAGACATTTCACGAGCTCAGTCACTTCATAACACCAAAGATAGGTCGCGGTAAACACTCTGAAGTGAGGCTCCACTAAAAAAGAAAAAGAAAAGGCAAAGTGTAATGCCTGTTAATAGCTTGCCACAGGCAAAGCTCAGTTAAAATAAAGCACAGCTATTGTGCAATACATTTGTATTGCATGTATATTTTTTAGTAACAATTTCAGTTAAACCTTTTAAGAATAAATATATTTTTGTTATCTAAACGTTTGACCTCTTTATTTTACAATTTTGGAATCGAAACGGGGAATCGATAAGAACCGGAATCGATAAGCAGAACCGGAATCGAAATCGGAATCGATACATTTCAAACGATACCCATCCCTAGTGATCATACTTGATGGTGGTCATCCCTTATGAGTGATGACAGGCTGATGCACAATGTGATCCTCTCAAATATCTTTGCAAAGGTCAAGCATCAGATTTCAGTCACAGAGACCTACCCCAGAAAAAACATCCCTATTCCTCCACCTGCACCCTGTTTCCACCGAGTTGTTGACAGAGATTACTGCAGCCTTTCCTCACCAATAATGTAAAACCACTCAAAGGCTTAGATTCGTGTCGGACAACATTATGGAAGGGATGTTTCTTTACCTTTAGCCTGAAAGCACCGTTTTATTTTGTTAGCCATGTGTTGCTCAACGATAAATTCTCATTCTGAAATCTGGCATTACATCCACATTGTAAAACAAATCTAAATATTCAGCCACGACCATTGAAGATCTTTGAGTTGTTTCCACTTTTGTCTTCCGTCAACATGTTGCGGGACAATTTAAATAGATTGGATCAAATTCAAACCAGAATCAGAAATCCTTTATTTTCCCGCACAAACAGCATTACAGCAAAGGTGAATCAAAAGGCAAACATAAAAAGAGTAAGTTAAAGCAAGCAAACGCTAATACAAATAAAGACAATTAAGTAAGTAGCAGCTTTTTAAAAGGTAGGTGAAATAAGAAGCTATTGAGATTTTATATAATGTATTTGTTCCACATACCAATGATAACAGCTGACTGTAGTAGCAGCCAGAATAACAACAGTAGCAGGAAAAGTTACCTTAAAACATTTGATTTCACTTAAGGTTCTTCTATAATGTTGTCAGATGCTTTGCAATTGAAATGAATTTGAAAGTTTAAACAATAATCTGAGCCTGTTGACGTTGCGACATCACAGCCCCTCCAGAAGCTCCCAGCTTCAGCACTCCCGCTCGATACTGGACCAATTTCATAAGTTGTCCTCCCCATTGCTCACTTAGACTGAAAGACATGGGAAATGATGGTTAAAAAAAATACAAAAGAGACCTTTTAAAGAGAGCCAGTGGATGCTTTGTGATGGATGTTGTGTTGGTGTGTGAGCACGTGAGTCCTGATTAGATATATGTGTGCACCTGGATAAAAATGCTCTCCTCTGGTTCAGGTGCGTTACCGTAGAGACCACCTGTCGGGGCGGACCCTGCAGCACTTCCCCCTGCTGGACGACCTGCTGAAGGACGTGAGTGACGGCACGGCGCTGCTGTCCGTCGTCCACTTCTACTGCCCGGAGCTCCTCAGGCTGGAAGGTGACACTGCACTGTGGAGATCTGAGACAATGAGCAAAAAACTGCTTTCTGCTCATTCTGTCTTTTTTGGTAGCTTTTCTTGGTTGTTTTGTTTCCCTCTGAAGATGTGTTGCATCTCTTTGGAAGCTTTATAGATGAGATTTTAGATAAGATATACTTTATTCATCTCAATTTTGGAATACAAAAAGAACGTGTCTTTGTCATTATTCGGTTGCTTTTTGGCTGTTGTTTTTTCTTTTTAGGTGTTTTGTGTCTCTTTGTCTTGATTTCAGACCTTTCTCGTCTATATGGTAGTTTTCATTCACTAATAATATTAATAAACTTTATTTATATAGCACCTTTCATGCAAGATGCAGCCCAAGTGTTTTACAGATACATAAATCTGTAAAAAAAAAAAGTGAGGAACATAATTAAAAACAAGTTATAAACAAACAGCAAGAGTTAGATAACAGAACCATAAAACATGAACAAGTGATACAAGTAAAAATAACCCCAATTTTGGGGCCACAGAAAGCAGCCTCCCCAGATGTCTTGTTTAATACTTTCAGTATTTCTTATATAAAGTCTTGTACATTTTTAAAAGCACTTTAAAATAAATTCTGCAGAGGGGAAATGTGATCCCTTTTTTTTTGTGTTTGTTAAAATCCTGGCCACAGCATTCTGAATTAATTGCAATTTATTTAAAGATTTTTCCGGGACACCAGTAAAAAGAAAGTTCCAGTAGTTCAAGCGACTTTTATTAAAAGCATGTAAATCCATTTCAGCAGCATTCTGAGTTCAAAATCATCCTGGCAATGTTCCTTAAGTGGAAAAAGGACGTTTTTGGAACCTTATTTTTGCAAAATGACTCCCGGGTTGGAAACTTGTGTTTTAATATATTTGGACATGCTGGAAAACACTGACTCTACTCTCTGCCGTTCTACACTCTAATCTGTGCAAGTGACTGTAGAACAGATACTACTGACATGTCTAAAGCTAGATCCAGGAGAATGTAAGCCTAGCTTTAAGACAGGAAGCCTGGGTTACTCAAAGTCTTAAAGGTCCCCTATCATGCTATTTTCAGGCAATAGCATAGGTCTCAGACATATAAAATATATAAAAAACATGTCTATGAAGTGTTTTGCTCCAAATACCAAACCCATCGCCCATTCTAGCCATGCTTCATACCCCTCAATTTCACTTCCTGTTTCAAAAGTGCTGATTATAGGTATAAAGCTTTAAAAAAAAAAAAGAATTGATAAAAAAAGAGGGGGCTGAGCTCATGCGGGACATGGGGCCGTGGGTCCACATTTCCGATATTACGTCATATCGGACGCAAATCTGGATCAGCGCCGTTGTTCCCCCGTTTTTAGAGATTTGGGTACGGAGGAAAAGAGAGAGGGGTTTATTTTCTGATGCTGCGTGAGTTCCCCGACGCACCGGGGACACATATTCATGTGTAGAAGACATCAAAAAGTGCATTTTGCATGATAGGTCCCCTTTAAGTTAACAGCCGATTGGCACCTTTAAAATGAACTTATTAACACACTTTGAGTACATTTATTGTAGTTCTTCTAAGATAAAGCTAGTTTTTTTCATATTTAGCATACACATATGAGTGCTCTTAGTATTATCTTATCAAACATGTTTTAAGCATCTCACATAAGAAATAGGTTTTGATATAGCATTTAACTTTAACATGATATGGTTTGAGCCTGGGACTATGTACCATTGTTGTCCTGTGTGCAGATATCTGTCTGAAGGAGGTCCCCTCCATAGCAGACAGTGTGTACAACATCCAGCTGCTGCAGGAGTTCTCTAACGAGTACCTGAACAGGTGCTTCTATCTGAAGCCTGAGGACATGCTGTATTCTCCACCAGTGCTAAAGGTGAGCCCAAAGAAAATGAACAACAACTAAAAGCAGGTTTCTTTCATTTCTTCCTAATGTGATCTCTGTGCGTTGCAGAACAACGTGATGGTCTTCATCGCTGAGCTCTTCTGGTGGTTTGAGAGTGTGAAGCCAGACTTTGTACAGCCTAGGGACCTTCATGAGTTCAGAGACGGTATAACACACGCTCTACTTCCATATACCGGTTTCTTATTCATCAAACTGCTACTGGCTCTTTTAACACTAGAACCGCCAGGGGTCGCTGTATAAAATGTACCCGCTATTAGAATGCATTGATTTTCAAGGTACAATGTTCTTTTATTTATCATACAAGAACACAGGGTTAACAATGAGTTTTGATCGCACAGTGATGAAACTTATACCAATAGAATCTGTGGATATATGAAGTATAAAATATCGCTAAAAGTGTCTCTCTCTATCTATCTATCTCTATCTCTCTATAACGAACCGCAGTAAACAATAGGCATTGCTATAGCAACACGTCATGTTTATGTTTACACGTGAGATCAATAGCGTGAGAATCGCTGCATTTTCTATAAGGTAATGGCAATTCTTGTTGGCCATTTTTTCAATCTGACTTCATATTGACAATTTTTAACAACAGAGGGTGCTACATAACACACTTTCAGGAAAAGTCACGGACTGGGAGACTTTAATATTTGATTGAAAAAAAGTTACATACATAACATACATAAGAAACATCTGCGGGTAAAATGTACCCGTTGGCGATTCTAGTGTTAAAGATTGCATCGTATGTTATAGGTCTTTTTCTAACGGTTCCCTTGCTATTATTTTCCAGTGCGATTGCTCCTGCAGCCCAAGAGTTCAAGATCTAATATTCCCATCTCTAACGTCACCAAACATAGTTTCCTGACAACATCGAACTCTGCCGACATGTTGACCACGCCTCCGAGCCCCGACCTCAGGTAACACCCACAGACTGTTTTTTCACGTGATATAAAACACAAATAGTTTAAGGAGTTAGGCGTCCCGTATATATTTTAACGTTGTCAATCTCATGGTTATAATTTAAAACATACAATAGAACACATTACTTAAAGGTGACCTATCATGGTGCGTCAGGGAACTCACGCAGCGTCAGAAAATAAACCCCTCTCTCTTTTCCTCCGTACCCAAATCTCTAAAAATGGGGAACAACGAACTGATCCAGATTTGCGTCCGATATGACGTAACATCTGAAATGTGGACCCACGGCCCAATCAGAAACGTTGCTATCAGAAACAATGCCCGACTGTTTTGGACGTAATATGGTCGGTGTTCACATTAGCATCGCTAACACTCAGAGCTAACCTGTACTGGAGAGCATGTGTGTGAAGAAGCAGGAAGTAAAAAGGAACTCACCTTGTGGTATAACCGGCAAGAGAGAAAGCCTTTGAGCTCCAGACTATTTCAGAAATAATCCATGATAATCCATGATATGGTGTTTCATCACGGCAGCATTTAGTTTAGACAGTAGCTGCCGGGTCCCGCATGAGCTCAGACCCCTCCTTTTTATTTATCATTTTTGTTTTTAAAGCTTTATCCCCAAATCAGCACTTTTGAAACAGGAAGTGAAATAGAGGGATATGAGGCATGGCTAGAATGGGTGATCTGTTTGCTATTTTGAGCAAAACACTTCATAGACATGTTTTTTATATATTTGTATATATCTGAGACCTATGCTATTGCCTAAAAATAGCATGATAGGTCCACTTGAAAGGATTTAATGCATACTTTACAACTTAATATGGTAAAAGTCACAGCCTTGAACTATCTTTGCTTGTGATGTACATTAAAATCCGTAAAAAAAGTTATTTTTGCAATTTTCTTACTCTAAGACAAAAACATTTTGGCCAAATAAAGAGTACATTAGCACAGATCACGCCTCTGCCCTTAAAGTACATAGTAGCATATTTCCTAATATTTGTATTATTATATAAATCAGACTACCATTAGCTTTGGATACACACCATCAGAGTTTTGTCTTTTTCTTGATACTGACATGTTTTTTAGAAGCAACATTAATAAACCCCAACCCTCTCTTTATGTCCCTTCCAGCACTAAACCAACGTCCCTAAGCCCGTCTCACTGTCTCCTGCCCCTGAGACAGAGACAACAGAAGGTGGCTGACGAGAGCTCTTCAGGTAATTAAATACATATTTATTTACCGCCTCTAGTCACAAAGGAACTTCTTCAAACAGAGCGGGAAGATAGAGAGCAGGAAGAGTGTTCTTTTATCCTTCCTTAGTTGAATGTCCTTATCTAACAAACAAAAAACAAGGGGCTTGGTGAGTAGTTAATTAATCCATTTAATTGAATCAACAATAAAAAGAGTTGTAACATGCCAAACTAGTACATTTATTTGTAATCTACAATGGTGTATTAGGTCTATTGTAGGTTTAAAAAATAAAATAAATAAAAAAACATCCAAGAAAGGGGCTACAATTCAGAAAAGTCCTCAGAATTTACCCAATTAAAGTCGTAATTTTTCTATAAGAAAATCTTGGGTATTGAGATAGAAATGTGTGAGTAAAGACACACACATTAATGATCAACCTCATAGCACCGAAGATTTTCTCATACAATCTCAACAATATATAATTTTTTGGTCCTAAACCTGACACTTTAATCTCAGAGAATACAAACATTTTATTTTGAAATAATATATGACTGTTATCTCAGAGAATATCTACTTTTGTCTTTAAAATGTACAACTGTTATTCAAGAGAATATCGCAGTATTTTTTCTGTAAAATTTCAAATTAAACTAAATAATAATGCCCTGCCTGTGCTCTCTTAATACTCTTTTTTTTCTACACATCATCATCTAATACACATCATATATTGATGATTGTCCCAGGTGTAGATTATCAAACTTTGTCCACAATGAATGTTACATGTTTTTGGAGTTTTTGTTTGTAATCTGCATCATCTTATCTTTGAACAGTGCTGAGAAACAGGTCCAACTCCCTGACACCGGACGGGCAGAACCAGGGCTCCATCCTGGCCTGGCCCGACAGGAGGGGGAGGTGAGGGGTGTCATTACAACGTTTTAAAAATACTTATTTCAATTTATAGCAGGTACAGATATAACAGAAAATTGCTTCATGTTTCTGTCTATTTCTGTTGCTTGGTAAAATTGTAAAATGCCTATTTATTTGAAAAATAATTGTCCACAGTAGAGGTAATCATCAATGGTCGCAACACTGTTCATGGTAGTCACAATCAGCCCACTGAGAGTACAAATATGGCCACTTTCTGGTTAAAACTGCCATTTTTGATCCTGAAAATGTCGGAAATGTATTCAGCATCCTCAATAACCCCCAAAACTAATCCAACATTGTAAAAATCGGACTTGTCACTTATAAACTGTTGTTTACATGTGTTCTTTACCATTCATTTTAATTAATGCAACTTATGCTAATTGTGCAAATTGCCCAACAAAAGCAAGTGAGCATCCGGCAGTTTCTATGTGCTGGGGACCCTACTACAGTATACATGTATGTCGTAAAACTTTGGGCTACTCAACATTTCCGGGTTCACAGTGCTGGCAGCACTGTAATGTAAATACATTTTCTACTGTGAATATGTATATATTTGCAGTTAATGTTAATTTGTATTTGTTATATATTTGTATCTTATTCTATTTTTTAAATATTTGTAACTTCATTTTCAACAATTTGGGATGATCTCTATCTATCTTCATGAAATCTCACATTATTCACACTATGCTCTCCCTGCAGGCCTCTTTCCGTGCAGGCTCCCTACGCCCTGCACTACCCTCTGGAGGAAGACGCTGACAGCATCAGCCTTGCCCGCTCCATCAGCAAAGACAGCCTGGCCTCTAACATCCTGAGCACCCCCAAACACATGCTGGGCCCCCAACACAGACTCAGCGGCCAAAGCCTGCTCAGCCACATGCGCATAGAGGACGAAGAGGAGGAAATAGAAGAGGGAGAGCTGGTTGCTGTCACCCACCCTTCTGCATTGTCTCGCCGTCGCCTTGGGAGTGACATGGAGCAGGACGAGCTGGAGATCCCGAGTGCAGCGTCCACCTCCAGGGTTTTGAATACTCGTTGTTCTCCCTTTACACCCGAGCGCCCGACAGACAGTTACTATCTGGAGCCTTTGATGCCCACCACCCCTAAGCCAGCCAAGGAGAAGAGCATCAGCCTGAATAAAGAGGAGGAGAGCGGGGAGAGTCGCTTCAGAGCTGCTAGGAAAGAAGCAAGCAGCATTCCACAGAGGAAAACCCCAACGCCTGAGTCCAACAGAGGCATCTTCACACCCATACAGCTGGCAGAGTCAGGGAGAATCAGGCCGCCCACAGAGGGGTCTGCAGTCACCCCTCAGCCTGAGAAGAAACTCTCCCCAGGCTTTTTCCTTCATATGTCAGGAGAGCCAGACCCCCACTGCCCTCTCCCCTCTGCGCTGGGTGTCAGAGACGACTCGGACTCTGACATCGCAGACCTGGAGGAAGACGAGGAGGACGAGGATCTGACTAAAGAGGTGGTGAAGAGAGCACAGGGGATGTACTTGCAGGAGGGAGAGGTGTGTAAGTTTAGGGAGTTAGACTGTGAGTCGGCCAAGCTGAGAGAGGACTCGAAGGTGAGCGAGCGGGACGATAAGGAGGGGGGCAGCGGGCGCTCCAGCCCCTGCCTCAGCACCGCGTCCTGGGCCAGCAGCGCGTCAGGCAGCGCCAGCGTCAAGATGACCAGCTTCGCCGAGAGGAAGCTCCTCAAACTGGGGCTCCGCGAAGAATTCTCGAGCACCAGCAGCTCTCAGAAGACCACCCCGGACGGGTCTGAGGTCACGCCTTGCCCCCCCTGGCAACTGAGAAGCGACTACACCTCCGGCTGGCTCGCCAAGGAGCCCAGATCTTTGCTGGGAAAGAACCTGGCGTTGAGTCCCTCCGTAGTGCCTTCAGAGCTGCTGCAGCTTCACATGCAGCTGGAGGAGCAGAGGCGAGCCATCGAGCACCAGAAGAAGAAGATGGAGACGCTGTCGGCACGGCAACGGCTGAAGCTCGGGAAGGCTGCGTTCTTGAACATCGTTAAGAAGGGAGGAGAGAAGAGCGACACACTTCCTCTGCCCCTAAAACAATCATCAGAAACAGCTGACAGGGGTCACATGAAACCCCTGTTTTGTAAGGACGACTCCTGTCTTGATGCTCTGAAGGCGAGGGAAACACAGGGAGGACAGATGAGAAAGAACCGGTTGAACACCCTGTCCCAGGATAACGTGGCAGAACCGGACCTGAATGAGTGCTCCCACTCCATAGATCTCCTCAACGACGCCATCAGCTCCATCCAGCAGCAGATGATGCAGCTGTCTCTGCAGCAGAACCTGCTGATGAAGCGCGTGGTGTCACCTGCAGAAAAACCAATGAAGCGTGCAGTTTCTCCTCCAGAGCCGCTGAGGAAACACGCCTCCTCGCCTGCAGAACAGGAAGAATCGAGCACTAGCACAACCCCCATCACGACCCCCACCACGACACAATCCACACCCTCTGCCTCGGACCCCAGGTCTTTTGCGGTTCACTTCGTAGAGATCAGTGGCAGCAGCTCCACTCCGTCCCGCCGGCCGCCTAAACTCAGCTCAAGCCAGCGCAACAAAGCCTCGGAGCAAAAACAAATCAGAGAGAACAGCAAGGCGGCTTCTGTCAAGCCTATTACACAGCCCCCGGGAGGCAGAGAAGATTCAGGGAGACTCCAGGAGAAGAGTGTTGAGGAGAAACCCAGGCCGGAGAGAAGCATCCGGAGAAACAAAACCTTCAGAGTGGGCGATGACCTCGAGCCGCGCAGCAGCGAGGAGGACAATAACTGCTTCTTTGACTGTTCCTCAGCGTTTCCCTCACCAGAACTAGAGAACAAAGTCACCAACTCAGGGAAAGAGGCAGCAGATAGGGAGGAGGCCGCCAGGGTCAAAGGTCAGCTGATGGAGGTGGACCTATCTGAGCTTAAGGATCGGCTGGAGGACGTCAGTGCAGACGTCACAGAGTGCACTGCAGAGGGAGAGCAGAAGAATACGCTCGGTTACTTCTTCAAGGTAATATTGGGTTTCTGGATTATACTAGACATTTTTCTTTACAATGGTTGTGTGTTAAATATGTGCATACGATTTGAATAACAACATGTTTGGTATATTTACAGGAAATAATCGTTTGCCTGTAGGCGTCATGTCATATGCTTTTATGTTTTGTGTGGACCCCAGGAAGGCTAGCTTAGGTTCTTCTTCAGCTAATATGGATCATAATCAGTGGCGTTTTTATATGTACAAAAGGGGTGGGGCACAAAAAACGTAGATGTTTATAAGCTTCTGCAGTGAGGTTCATGGCTGGTGAGGCACTGACTCTGACTCTTCAGGTTTACAAATATTATATTTTGACCTAAATCAAAATATTATGTTATTTTCAAAAGCTTCGATTAATTTTAAACAGAAAATGTAATTTTATCATTTAAATATTGAATTGTTCTCTCTTAGTAAGATCCCATTTTCAATACAATTGTGGTCTTACCTTGGCTTGAAGATGAAGTCCATTTGCCTATCCCTCTGGACAAAAATCTCTTACTTTTTTGTAAAAGTTCTCCTTATCTTCTTGTAGTTTCAAAAGTCTATCATAAATCTAAATGATAGATTTATGATTAGAAAATTATAAAAGTAGGGTAGACATGTGGATATTATCCGGCTGAACAAAACGTGCATTTATCTAACAGGTACGTTTCCCACAGATCTTATTTTGAGCTATTTTCTAAAATCCTATGGAGAAATCTCATTGCTTTTTTGTGCAGGGAACCCATGCACAGCTTACTTCCGGGTTTTAGGACGCGTCACTGCAGCTCTCTCGTCTCCTCTTCACACACCACACTTTTCGCGGCACACGTACTTACAGCCAATCAGCTCTGAATGATGTGAGATGACGTATGGTGGGGATGGCAGCACTATGCCCCTATGGTCATTATTTTTTTGCCACACACATTAAATAGGAAAATATTCTGAGCATGCGCAGTGTAGTTTTTACAGTCACCGTTCACTTAGACAGTGAGAGGGAGGGGCAGGATCGGGTTTTGTCCCACATGGCTCTAAACAGCTCAATAGGCACACACTGTAGACACTAATTAGAAGAACACATACTAAAACAGCAATGTACAGACGAATCAGATGATTAAACATGATCTTAAAATATATTTTATATATATTTGTTTTTCTATTTTTTGCATTTTGTTGTAATCATTATTTGTAATACTTTCTGCTGACACTAGGTGGGGCTGTGCCCCTGCCCCTAATGACCAGTCGCCACTGATCATAATACATCTTAAATACTTTGGGATATTAAGTGAGCAGTCAGGGAAGCATAATAAGCATTCTTCCGTCCTGCAGGATGAGGAGAAAGCAGAGGATGAACTGGAGAAACGCCGCGCTGCCTTCCTTCTCAAACGGCAGCGTAAAGCTGAAGAGGCGAGGCTACGCAAACAGCATCAGGAAGTGGAGTACGAGCTGAAACGGGATGAGACCAGGTAGGTGTTAGTTAAACACACTCACTCAATCAAAGGTTAAAGGTTCCCTATTTAGTAGGGATGCACGATATTGGGTTTTTGAAACCGATACCGATAACTTCCTGCTTCTCAAGACCGATACCGATAACCGATAATAATATAATATATATATATATATATTAAATGTGCCTGTAGTTTTTGCACACCTGGTGGTAAAAAAAAGACTAGTAGTGAGCAAATTACATGAGCATTACTACTATGAACAAAACAAAGCCAAGAACAGTTTTGACTCTTCAAAGTGACCATATTTATTTTCCCAAATAAAGTTCTTGCCTTTTTCAAAAGCCTCGTCGATAGGTAAAAGCCCCGGTGCCTTTGCAGCTGGCTTTGGATTCACCGCTAGTTTAGCAGCGCAGGCGTCTTCATACGCTTTTAACACACCATCGTAGCGATGGCGATGTTTCAGGTGACTAATCAGGTTGGAAGTATTATAGCTCGTTGCCTTTTTCCCTCCTCGTGGAACTTCTGCATTGCATTTGTTAATACAAATAGCAAGCGAACTATCTAACTCTGAAACTTTGAAATCCCATACTACCGGCGACATGTTTGTTTACTGTCCTGGCTTCACGGCCGCACACCATTTACGTCACAGCCAGGCATGAGTTAGGGAGCGCTGGATTTGTGAGAAACTCCCCTCTTCCTAAACCACTAATACCACAGTACTGGCAAAACGGGAGGAGCCGAGGGAAAAACAAGCGCCCCTCATTCCAATCCACCACACCGCAGTATTTTTTTCTTTTTTTTTACCCAAAAAATATATTGTATATTATTGGGGCTATTAATACTTTTATCGGGTTTATCGGGATGACGTCATAATTCCTAATATCGGACCGATAATTATCGGGCCCATAATTATCGTGCACCACTACTATTTAGCCATGTTGTTGTGTCTAAATGATTAATGGGGACAACAATGTTTTGGAATTGGTCCAGTATGGAGACAACACAAATGTCAACCATTGAAAGTGCTCGTTTTTGCCACTGACTAACGCAGATTGTTAAAATAAGGGACTGACAACATTTTGGAGGAGAAATTAAAAAAAGTTCTTAATATTGTTTTCTTGTTATGGAGAGAAGTCTCGTAAATGGTGACGTTTTGAGGAAAGACAACAGTGGAAATGTGATATTTGGAGAATGGAATGCCGGAAAGAGTTTGTTGTGTTGGAGTAAAGTGAGCAGAGCTGAATATTCAACTGTTTTTGACAATGTTGATGAGGCCTACCCCGCTCTTTTACATTGAAAATGTAAGAGTCTGCAGTCATGGGGGCAGGGGTAAACTTTATCTTGCAATTAAATCCTACCTGACCTAACCTCCAGGCGTAAGGCAGAAGAGGACCGTATTCGCAAGGAGGAGGAGAAGGCCAGGCGAGAGATCATTAAGCAGGAGTACCTGCAGAGGAAGCAGCAGGTGCTGATGGAGGAGCAGGGTCTGGTGAAGCCCCGCCCACGGATGAAGTCCCGGAGGAGCAGACCCAGATCCCTGCACCGAGAGGAGGCCAGCAGCCTCTCCAAAGGATGCGCCACACGTAAGAAGACCTTTCCTAAAGCGGTTACTTTCTCAATGTTGTCTTTACATTGTCTGTTGTGTTCATCTTCATTCTGAATGTGCTCATGATTGTTCAATCGAGTTAACAGTGAAGTTGTTAGATACACATCCTGCATCTCAGATGCACCTTTCTAGAAATGCGACATTGGAAACATCAAATCTGTGTGAACAATCATAGAAAAAACAATAAGCTTGTTGCAAAAGCATGTTTCTATTAGATGCATACATTAGCTTAGTAACATTTGGTTTGAATCCCATTTGAAATGTTACTATTTAATAAAAAAAAAAAGATTTAATAATGTATATTACAAAGTGTTAATTTCATCATAACATTTAAAAGAATATCCTGATTTGTAAAACAGAGTAAAAGCTGTAATAGAGTTTGAAACTACAGTTTGTAAAAAACAACAAATGTTAGTGGCTTTTGCTATAGTCTCCGCCTGTGGGTACTCACTACATTAAAAAGCTATCACCATCACCGAGTTCACATGTGTACATCTGTCATCCTCTGAGTGTGTACGTGTGTGTTGTGCAGGACATTCTCTGAAGACGTCCTTGTTGATCAAAGCCCAGAGCTCAGCAGCAGGCTGCAGGGGAGGTGAACCTCTTCACTGCTCTGCATGACCAGATGTATATTTACACACACAGCCTATTAGTCTGTCTGCCAGCTCTGTAACTCTTTTTACGGCCCGTCCACACAGCAGCTTTTGGCGATTTGTCCACCGCTTCCAGCGCGTCTCCGCCCATTGACTTTGAATGGGGATGACGTCACTTTCCCTCGCTTGTCGCCGAACTGCATTGTGGGGGGGCGAGGCGAAGATTTCCAGGATTTCCAGGATGTTCAGGATTCCAAAGTTGAACATTGTTCAACTTTTGAGGCTGAGCTGGAAGCGACAGCCAATCAGATCCGTTTATGCAAATCTGACAGTTCAAGCGCTAGCCAATCAAACCGCGTGCAAGCTGGAGAACGAGACCCGCAGTTCATTTCTATATTCCACAAAAATGGAGGAGAACTTAGTTATTGCGGTAGCAAATCACCCGGTTCTTTATGACCAGTCCCTATTTACTTACCGGGATACAAACCGGAGGAACCAGGCATGGGGGGAGGTGGCAGAGGCTGTGGGGGAAACTGGTAGGTTTTCGGTTGTTTGGGGATTTTATATCCAGTTTACTTCGTTGCTAGTTTACTTCGTTGCTAGCAAGCATAGACAGTATCATTAGCCAACATGGAATGTAGCATAAAATAGCACCATAAACATTAATCTCATAAATGTTCAAAATGTTAAAAAAATAAATGTTCATCATAGCCCTTCCTATTTGACAATAGTGTAGAAGAACCGGGTTTTTTTGCTTTGTATGTCGGGGGCGGGATATTCATGTGATATTCATGTGATTGGTTGTTGGTCGCGAAATCCCCAAGCTGTCAGACACGCCCAGCTCCAGGATTTTCAAGATTTGGTCAAAGCTGCTGTGTGGACGAGTCCTATTGTGAACCCGGAATAATGAGGACCCCAACGATTTATGTTAGAAATGTATTGTACGGGTCCCAAGCACATAGACACTGCCAGATGCTAACTTGCATAGGCAATTTGCAACATTTGCATAAATTGGTTAATTGTTCATTAGCAATAATAAGCATTATAGCCTATGTGGACAATTGTGACAAAATGGCTTGGCATATTTGGGCAGCTTTTCAGTGGTTCTTGGGGTTATTGAGGATGCTGAATCAATTTCGGACATTTTCAGGATCAAAAATGGCAGTTTTAACCAGAAAATGCCAATATTTGTACTCTCGGTGGACTGATTTTGATACATTTTGGGTCGATTTGGGAGATTTAGGGATTTGGATTGGACATATTGCCTATTTATTTGAAAAAACTTTCTGGTTAAAACTGAAATTTTTTATCCTGAAAATATCAGAAATGGACTCCAAATCGGGGATATAATGCAGTTCATTTTAATTTAAATTAATACAACTTATGCTAATTTCGCTAATTGCCCAACATAATGATGCAAGTTAGCATCCAGCAGTTTCTATGTGCTGGGGACCCTATATACATTGCTAACATAACACTTGGTGTACTTAACATGTCCAGGTCCACTATGCTGGCAACTAGACTACATTTAAAATAATTTGTTACAAACCCAAAAGAAGTTATGCTCATCCATTAATCTTTTTAGAAATTACTTAGTATGATCGATTTATGATTTTGTTGCCTTGCCTGTCATGCAGCTACTACCATTGTTTGAATCTCATGGTTTATGAACTTTTAGTGCTTCATTTTGTTCAGTAAAGTAACCAACATGTAATCATTCTGTCTCATTTTCAGCTGATCTGAGCTGCAGTCATCGAGGGTCGACGCTCTCTCTGGCGACGGAGGCCGACAGCGTTATCTCCGGAGGTGCGGAGTCACAGAGGTGAGACTTCCTGTCTTGTGTTTTAGATCAGAGGATATGATCTATTCCCATCTTGTTTTTTGACTGACCTTCACGTGTGTTTTCAGGGCTGGATCTGTGTGCTCCATGGAGTCGTTCCCCATGCTGAGCAGAGCGTCCAGCAGGAACATGGAGCGGGACTGGGAGAACGGCTCCATTGCCTCTTCAATCACTTCTATGGAGTACAATGGTGAGCAGAAATCAGCTTTGCCTGCTAAATTCCCTCAAAACTGCTTTTTTCAAATACATAAACTCTATTGTTATTGTTAGGGTTAGGGTTGCAGTATAGACGCATGGTTAGCGCTGTATATTGAATTTAACAAATAAAAAATGCACACATTTCTTTAAACGTGGATAAAAAGTATTTCTGATGTTGTCACTTTCTGTGGAGAAATAGTTTAAATTTTTATGAACTGGCTTATTTACTTTTTTGCGAGAGTTAGATGAGATGATCGAGAACACATTGCCAGAAGTTTCTTAATTATCTCTAATTATTCCAAATAGAAAGTGCCATGGAATACGCTCTTAGTGTGCTTATGTTCCCAAAACGATTTCATTACACATTAGACCAGGGGTCGGCAACCTTTTTGATATGAAGTGCCATTTAAAAAAAAATTGTTATCAGCGTGCCGACGATCGTGAATTATCAACGGGGGGCTGTGATGTATTTTGTGAAACAGAAGAACAGCTAAATAAATGCAGCGGCCTCCCAAGAAGAGCTCGCCTCTCTCCAGTCATTTAAGCTAAAGTGGGTTATTGAACCTGAAGCTTGTTGCTTGTGCCCTCCTCGACTACGGTCTGGGAGCCGACAGGAAAGTTCAACACACAGATGGCCAGTCCGCCCCTTTGTAGCATATTATTTAGATGAGAGATGAGCAGATCGCCACTGGGCTTTCAACTAAAGACACAGCCACGCAAAAACTGCGGCATTTGTACAGATCCTTATGGGTACTGCAATTAGTGAAGTGCTTTCCTCCGTGGTGAAACGATCAGCACCACGGAGGAAAGCGGCAGAAAGTCACCTGGAGTTAAAGAGAGCGGGGCTGCGTTGCTTCCTTCTGCAGGTAACGGGGAGACGCGCTCTGGCGGCGGTCTCGTTCAGGATCCGAAAATACAATTTAAAATATTTTGCACACTTATTCCACTTATTCCTAGTGTGCCACTGGTTACGGCCAATGCTGGCACGCATGCCAGGGGTTGCCGACCCCTGCATTAGACTCTTTAGGGATTATGCATTTACCTTAATTATCTATTTTTTACATTTGTGAAAGGTCCTAAACTCTTCAAGGAGCCGAGTTCTAAGTCCAACAAGCCAATCATCAGCAACGCCATCGCTCACTGCTGCCTGGCTGGAAAAGTCAATGAGAGCCAGAAGAATGTTATCCTGGAGGTCAGTGTTATCACTTAAGAACTTTTTGAAACATCTGTGTTGTTACTCTCACACCTTTTTTTTCATATTTACTAACTATTCTTTTGTCAATGTCTCTGATCACAGGAGCTGGAAAAGTGCGAGTCCAATCACCTGATCATCCTCTTCCGTGACGGCGGGTGCCAGTACCGAGGCATTTACTCATTCTCTCCGGAAACAGAAGAGATCCTGAAGTTCTCCGGCACCGGGCCCCGCTCCATCGGCCGGAAGATGATCGACAAACTGTACAAATACAGCTCGGACCGCAAGCAGTTCAACGTCATCCCCGCCAAGTCAGTGTCGGCCACCGTGGACGCGCTCACCATCCACAACCACCTGTGGCAGGTCAAGAGACCGGGCAGCGCACGCAGGAAGTGACACACACCACTCTTGTTGGGCAGGACCCAATAATCTCTGAGGTGATTGACATGTGATCATGTGACAGGTCTTTAGACAGTTAAATCAGACTGTGGCAGCGTGAGAAAAAGAACCGCTGCCAACTGAATGTTTTCTTTTCGTCTCGTTTATTCTGCATGTGACACTTTTAATTTGTCCTACATTATTAGGCAGTATTAACGGCGGGTTGATTATAATGTAGCAGTAAGGAGGAGATGGACCTTAAAGTTGAATACTAATGGATCTACTTACAGCACCAACTACTGTACGATACCAAGTGCAACTATAACTTCAGCTTGGCAAAAAAAAACCTACTGCTGTGATTATTCCTGGAAACTATTATTCATCAGTCACTCCGACTGGTCAGTGCTTTTACGGAGAAGGAACTAACTTTTTTTTATGTAAGTATGGAGTGGATGTTAGTGAGTGATCATGTCCAGTATTGTTTTATATTTAGTGTGTTTGGGAAGTGTGTGTATTTGTGTTTGAGCTGAATGCTCTGAATGTCTCTTAAATTATGCTTTAATACTGCAATGGAACTACGGAGCAAAGCAACACAATTGTATTTGTTTTTAGTTTCGAAGCTGCTGTTACAGAAATGGAAGAGAAATTATGTTTATACAGAAGGGGAAATTGTACTTGTATTACAAACACGAGCCCTTTTCAGACGGTGCGTTATACTTTTCTGCAGTAGCCATGAGATGCAAGTGAGTTTTTCTAAATTGTTTTCTTTTCTGTGTTTATATCCTAAGAACACATGAAAGAGTTTTGTTAGGACGATCTTTCTCAGTTCCTTTTTTTATATCTGAAAACAGATGAACATTTTTGGGACCACAAGAGACCGAAGTGTACCACAACTCTGTTCCAGTAAGAGCAAAAGCATTCATGTTAATGTTTTAGTTTAAGATCTTCCCAGATTATTATTACAACAACAGACACTTCATTTTGACAACAACAAGGAAATCCCCCGTATATTTACAGATTTAAAAAAAAGACATTTAGAAAAAATATGTTCGGAAAACTTTTTTTTATCTAGAAAAAAACTTTTTTTTCTCCACCTGTTTTACAGATATCTTTTAAAGAAACAAATGTTCACCTGTTCTTAAGTCATAAACACAGGAGAGAAAAACAATTTAGAATCATAAAATGTTTTCCCACTTGCCTCTCAGGGCTTTCATACATAGTAGTGCATTATATTAACTTCATTCTTACATTCCTCCTCCCGTACGACGTAGCCTCTGGCGCCCAACACGAGTAACTTCCATCTAATGACTGACTGTCAGCGGCTGGTGTTATGTGGGGGGGAACTGCACAATACTTGATATTTGTTTGCTGCATTTTGTACACGTTTGAGTAGTATTTTTTTGTACGTTACGTACAAGTTATGTTTACTAAAAAGCAGGCACTATTTTGAGGTTTATTCTGTTACAGGCTTTCAGAGATGTAATGAGTCTTATTTTAAGTGTGTTACACTGTATGTTTTATTTATTTTGAAGAGATATAATAAAATGCTACTAGCTATGTTTTCTGATGAAGTGTGTGTGCTTGCTTGAGTCTGTGTGCATTATTATGTATATACAGTAGGTGCAATTGTTCCTTAAAGCTTTCTTACTTTGACTACCTGCCTTCCTGCTTCACTCTCCTCTTTCATATCCATGCTGTCTCTATTTCTTTACTGCTGCTTTATTCCTACTTTCTCTTCTTGGTGTGGTGGAGGAAAAGTAGTGTGTATAAAACGTTTGTAAGCCTGTTTAACTCTGGCACATAAATCCCTAAACACCATTGTCACAATCATATTTTTTCAAGAAAAGGCACAGCTCTAACTTGGGTTCTCACACCCAAGTTAGATTCAAGGACTCAATTCCCTCAAATTCAAGGACCTAATACAGCATAGTTTAGGACACAGTTACAACAGAAGCTTTCATACAACAGTTGATTTCTCTAACACAACACAGCAAAACAATACATTGCAGCAGAGAAAAATATCTATTCACAATTTCAGTAACAATTTATATCCTTTCAAATAAAATATATCTAAATCCAAGCCCTTTTTAAGGACCCATGTCTATTTTCAAAAATGTTTAAGGCCTTGGTTAGTTAACCTTACATTCACAAATGTTTTAGGATTTCAAGGACCTTTGCGATTTATGGGAAATATCACTCCTAAAGTCACACATTTACATGTTACATGTACTGTACTGTTTAATGTGAAAGCCGCTCTCTGCAAGATGTCATGCTAATTACAAGAACATTTGCAAGGAAGTCATTAAATATACAGTATCTCCCAAAATGTTGACATCTTTCTTTAAAGCAGCAGTATGAGCCATGGTGAGATATTTAGTCTTAAACATTCAAAGTTAACTAACACTATTAAGAAAAAGTCATGAAATAAATATGTCTATATGTATTGTGTTGCTGAGATATCTACTGAAATGAGCATGTTGAACAGCAAGCCTCGGCCCATCTTCTCTTGTAATACCACTCTTTCCTCTAGGGGCGATAATGAGTCACCGTTTGTTGATCTGACCTCAGTCCAACTCGAGATGTCTTACTTAGAGGAAGTCCAGCCTGCTCTGCCCTGAGGGCTTGTTAATAACCTCATGTAAGGTGGTTGAAGTTAGGAGCACACCTGAATTCGTCTGAAGCCCTTGGCAACAAAGTTCAACAATAAGGGAAAGGAGCTAAACATCCGCTCTTGTGGAGTGTAGAGAGGAGGTTTGGTGCTGAACTTGCAACGTGTCTTCTGGACCAGTAAGTTACTCGTAACGTTGGCTATTTAACAAACATATTTGTATTGCAACTAAACTGAAAAATAATAGTCTCCAGACTCTGCACATGAAGATGATCAGATCTGGGGTAGGTGAAAAGCTGCCTCCAATTAGTTTAAAGCATGACGACCAGGTATCAATATATTGCCAGGCTTGGACCCAGTTATTTTATGAGCTGGGTTAAAAAAAACAAAGGCAGTATAAAGTAATTGTGTAAAGTAAACATAAAATTGGCGTTTCACCCATAATTACTCCTGTGGGGAATGCCCACACCCACAGGGGTGTCAAACTCTTGAGTGGCCTGATCAGACCTCAGTTATATTGCCGGAGATGTGACTCACCTGTTTGTCACTCAGCGTCTCCTACCTTCCTTTTTCACATCATCTCATCGTTTCAACCCTGTTTCTTTGCTTCGATCTCCTCTGCTTTCACCAATAATTGTGTTATTCAGTATATTTTAAACAGAACCAAGCTTTACACATGTGTGGTCCTTCCATGTAGGCTGGTAACTGACAAATCTGCAAAATATATTTTTTCAAAGAACTTTATATTTATGGTCAAGAAAAATCCCCAAATTAGTAATCACCATTTCTATGTTGAAGACATGCATCAATACAAAGGCCCTTTCAATGTGTTTTTACTTCATGATATAGCACTTTATTGTGAAAATTAAAGTCAAAGTCAAATATTCTTACAATACAGGATGTAGCATTTTAGAAATTCCTACCTTGTCCAAAGAGCCATACATGTACAAGCACATTTATTAATTAAGTAGTGCTTAAAGTCAAAGTTTTCTGATTCCTAATATAGTACAAATCAAATCAATCTGAATGGCACAATACTGAATATATTGCACAGACTGTTAAAAGGGTTAAACTGAGCACTTGTATTGCAAAAACCTCATCCAACCTCAGAAATGTGCTGCAGAGGAACAACAATATTTACATGATTTAATATCTAAAACCTCTACGCCACTGAACAAAGTTAACAAACCTAGGACGCTATTTATTAATTCCAGTAGTTTATCGATCCTTGATAAATTGTGCATTGCTCATAATATCATCCACAATCTTTCTTTATCAGCAAGTCTTGTAAACACGTCAAGATAACTCCTCCCAGAGCTAAAGTAAAGCTTCATTAATATGTATTCACATCTCTCTATAAACGAAGGACTGGAATGAATGACTTGGCCTTGTCCACGGCTTACATTATCAAAGATTTAATTTGTGGACACAAAAACAAAATCTGGTAATGATTTCATTAAATTAAGTATATCTTGTGCTCACAAATGTGAATAGTGTCCTTTCTTTCTCTAATGCCGGGCTCCGTTAGCAACTACTTCTATGATTCAGCTACAAATAAGCTTTAAAGGAAAGCTTTAATGCACATATTTGATTTAAGTCACATAGTGTTGAGTGTTGTGTTTTATTTGATGTGATTGAAGGTGAATAGGTAAGTGACAGACCAGGCACAACTAGAATAAATGCATCTGAACAAGAAAGAAAAGACAGATCAATCCTGGGCCAAAGTCTCTAAACTCCATGTTTTTTTTAGGGGAGCCACAACCCAAAAGAGCATGAGCAATATTAAACATCTCCAGACAGTGGTCAGTGAAAGTCACTCTAATCAAGCAGGTTTGATGGGCCTGATTCAAATCTTCCTTTTTGTTTGTTAAGCTTGTCCCTGAATGCTCATCTGAGAGAGCTTTCACAGCAGGAGACGGTGAAATGCCACCGGCCAACAGTAGGCACTCAAAACACGGTTGCAGACTGCAGTGCTGGAACATCGAAGCACAGATTGTCCTCTTTCAGACTGCATGGATGCAACCAGACCCCCGTGAAAAGCTGAAGGGGTGTATCAGTGGAGGTCAGCGTGTTCCTCAGAGTTGGGTGTCCTCTCTGGGCTCTGTTTCAGACTCGTGTCTCTCTTTCAGGCTGCTTCTGTGGAGAGGAGTCTCCTCTGGGACGTGAGCCAGAGGGTCCGAACGAATCAAATACCTGAGAGAGAAAAGAGGACAGATGAAGATAGGAGAAACTGTGCATCAATTTGAAAGAGTCGCCACGTGGGATTCAGCTGCTTTCTGAATCCCCTTAAGAGCAGAAGTCACATGAGCTGAAATTCATATTTTCACTGTAATTGTCTATTATTTCCAAAATAATAGGCTGCAGAATTGTCAGGGTCCGTTCTTTTGAAGAGGAATATTAAGAGCTGGAGTCAGGGACTTTTACATATAATTGAAGGTTTGTTGCATGCAAGCCCTTAACAAATGAGTTCACACAAAGCTGATGAAAGGCTCGTTCTGATTCCACTAGGCTTTAAGTGGACGTCTGTGTGCATCATGCAGAATGTACATATAGCAAGCATGTGAGTGGGAATGCTCCAGTTTTGTTGGTGGCGTTTGCACCTCTTGCTAGTTTGCGATTAGGGGGATGAATAACTCCAACAAAAGGGTGATGTTCATGGATGTATAAAGAGAACTGGATACAGCGTTGAAGGCGGGATTCCGTTCAATTCTGTAAAATATGCTCAATGCGGCATGAAGCCAAAATGCTGTTTTGAGCATTGCAATATATTTATTTTCACCATGTTATTTATTTATGATTATCTTTAGGATTTGATGTCAGCTGTTGCTGTCTTTTTTTCTTTAGTTAATACTGAAATAGAGCGCTGCTGTTTTGTTAGGGCGTTTTCTTTAAATACAATTTAAAAGCTGTCCTTTTTTTAACTGTCTATGCTTAAGTTTTTATAGGTGTTGCTATCTGCTTTGTGTCAGTGCATTCATTGGGTGGTATCAGAGAGTTACAAGGGTCTGTAAATGCAATGATAACAATTGGCCACAGCAAATCATTTATATCACATTTTTGAATACTTCAGTACAAAGGATGTATTGAATAATGTAAGTGATATGTGTACACATATACATTATTAGTCAAAACAGGGCTACATTTGATTGAATTATAAAAGGTGCAGTATATGTGGTCAAATGAAGAGCCGTTTGGTGAGCCGAGCCAAATGATCCGGCTAACTAAAAAGATCCGGAATTCCCATCACTACAAAGGACGCTTATCTGCACGCATAGAGTGCGCACTTGTGTTTTCCCTAAGCCCCGCCTCCAATTAGCAGCGCCAAGGCCGGTCTCGGCTCAGTAGAATTAATCGAGAAAGAAAATTACTTTTAGCGAATGTTACAACTTTTAAACCCTAATGATTTAAAATATGGGCAATACAAGTGTTCGTACTGGGTAATATAGTTACAAATAAATCATGAGCCTATTTACAGACATGTCTTTCCAAATAATAGTCAATGGGAAAAAGTATTTGTTGAGCCCTATGGCGTCAAGGAAGTTGTAGTACCATATTTTGGCCACTAGGACACTTCGCTTAAACGCCCTGCGAACTTCCTGGGGGCTTGGGTTATGTTATTGATTTGATTTGCCTGTTTGTCAGCCGAATTGCAGAAAAACTGATCAGATTTTCACCAATGCTCCATTACATACAGTAGCGCGTCCGAATCATGGTTTGGATCCCAACATTCTTTTTAGATAGCAAGATATGAAAATAAAGGGTTAACGCCTAAACCTAACCCTCAGCCTTAGAAGTGATATATCTGCTTTCCAATGCAATTCTAGTTCTCTGCTTCATTTTAATTAGGAATCCACATCGAAAGTATTCACTGTTGAGACCAACACAGTCTCACTCCCTGACCGCCCAATAGCGATGCTTGGTCAGGGTCCTATGGCGTGCAGTTGTGACTCACCGAGTCTCCTTCATCTTCATAAACGGACGCAAAGAGCTTTCAACTGATTGCAATGTATTCCCATCAGCGGCGGTATTTGACGCTCAGGGAAGCACCGCATCGGTCCATGTCTCAATCACGGGGTTTGTCAAGCAAAGCGGCTGGTGTAGTCCTAAACGATAGTTGAGGATTATGGGTAGTGTAGTGTTTTCTGCCATCCTAAACTCCGAAAAAATATTTGTTTATCCGAATCAAAGGGCAGAAATACAAAAGCATTGTCCACAATTCAAACCAATCAATGTTGTGCAATTAACAAGGATAATCTGGTGTTTTTGAGTTGATGAGTTGTGGAGATATCACTGTAAAATGAATCGACAGTAAGGAGCAGGGCCGGCGTCATGGGCGGGCCCCATGGGGCCGGGCCCGCCCATCCAGGATTTGGGCCCGCCCATGAGAAATCAGGGCTGATTAAAAAAAATTATATAAAAATATTTTTTAAATGTTTGTATTATTATGTTTATTGTTGTTATTTGTAGGGCTTTGTCATACCATTTATTTTTGTATTAAACTATGTTGAAACATTAGTATAATATAATTTTTTTATTTTGCTATGAAATTCTGAATGAATCTCTGTGCGCGAGACTGGTTTTTCGCGGGGTTGAGTTGTGTGTGTTTTTTTTTTTTAAATGAGACGCGTCACAGCAGCCTGTCAGTTTACTTTGGCGGTTAGTTTGGCTAGGCTATTATCCTTTTTTATATGTATCGGCAACAATGGATATTAGGAAGTGGTTCACGAACAATAAGAGCTCACAAAAGGATTGTGGCACTGACAACTCAGCACCAGATGCTGGCAACTTGACGTGTCTCCCGCCACCTATTCCTTCTCCTCCACCAGGTCCCGAGTCAACGTTGTCAGACGAAGCCTCTTCGGGGCCGGGCAGGAGCAGCAGTTCAACCTTTAGCAGCCCAGGCCCAGCTCCCATTCTAAACGCTCGTGATCTTGGAGATTTTAGTTTTCTAGTTCCAGAGGACCTTGGCGTGGATACACCAAAACAGGTAGTCCTGGATAGTTTCCCCTCTCGGCTCTTCTCCGGGAAAAAACGTAGTTTTGCCAGCTCATGGTACCAAAACCGACCCTGGCTTGAATACTCCGTAAAAGGCGATGCTGCGTACTGTTTCCCATGCAGAAAGTTTAAAGCTCATCATCATGACGCATCGTTCACCATAAAAGGCTTCAAAGACTGGAAGCATGCCTTACAAAAGGGCACGGGTCTTAGCAAACACAGCTCTTCCAAGGAACATTTAGTCTGTGAGAAATTGTGGAGAGAAAAACGAATGCGCATCGAGACTGGTCAGGAAATCACAACTCTGGTCAACAAAGATCAGCTGGCTCGTAACAAATATTACGTGGGCTCCATTATTGACATTGTGACTTTTCTCTCTACCAGCAATCTTCCTTTCCGAGGTGACCACGACTCTTTAGAGTGTATGTCCAAGTCTGGCAGTGGGTTATTTTTGTCATTGTTTGAGTATACCATCGAAAAGGACCCAGAACTCGCGAAAATTGCCCCCACCATTCCCAAAAATGCTACCTACATAAGCCATGATATACAAAACGAAATAATTGACCTGATGAGCAAAGTTGTAACGGAGCATATTGTTGAGGAAATAGGCGACTCCTTTTACACTGTCAAAATGGATGGAACCCGAGACCCAACAGGCTGTGAAAACATTTCAATTGTACTGCGTTTTGTTGATGAGAACTATGTCATAAAAGAGAGGCTCTTGACAATCGCCACAGCAGTTGCAGGTGATGCAAAAACCCTCACACAGACACTCATTGATGAAATACGCAAAGCTGGCCTGAGCACAGACAAAATTCTCAGCCAGGTATACGATGGAGCAAGTCTTATGTCGGGGAGACACGGTGGGGTTCAAAGACTCCTTCAAGATGAACTGGGCAGAGAAATCCCATATGTGCACTGCTTCAACCACCAGCTGCACTTGGTCGTTGTTCACGCCATGTCTGGTGAGAGAGCCATTGAGGATTTATTCAACATCTGTAATGTCCTCTACAAGTTCACACGAAAGCCCACCATTGCTGCACATTACCAGGGAAACACGCTGAAGCGTTTACTCGAACAGCGCTGGACAGGGCACCTGGCCACTGTTCAGATTATTCTGAAATCTTTTCAGGATATAGTGGAACTACTACGACACGTTGAAAACTCTGCATCATTTCCAGCTGACTTGAGGATGGAGGCAGCAGGCTTGCTGAGCAGAATTTTAAAGCCAAGCTTTAAATTCCACACCCAGATAATATGCAAGATATTGTCCCTGCTTGAGCCAGCTAACAGGATGATGCAGTCAGAGGAAATGGACCTTCAAACGGCAGTACAGCTTGTCAACACTGCCAAAGAGTGTGTTGAGGCCCTGCGCACCGAAAAGGTGTTCACGGAGATGTGGAGTGAGTGCGCACAGGAGAGAGCGGATGATACTATCCATCCCGGTCCCACCAAGAGAAAGCGAACTCTTAACACAACTTTGGAGGATTATGTTGTTGAAGAGACAGTGGGAGTGGGAACACAAGAAAACCACCAGATGACAGAGAAACGGCGGCTGTTTTACAGCTGCATTGATGCAGTTACGGGAGAAATTGCGCGCCGCTTTGGAGAGCGAAACAGCGCATTCATGGAGGCTATTGCTTCACTCAACCCGGAAAGCAGCTTCTTCCTGGAGCCCGAAAAAGTGGAACCCTTGCTTAAACTGACTGGAACCACGCTCGTTGATGCTGAGTTCATTGTGGCCAAAAAGCTGATTCTGAAACACGTGGACAGCATCACACCACCAGAGGATGGGAAATGGACATTGAAAAACATACTTGGTCATCTCCACACGACGCTTGAGGCAATGCCAAGTGTTCTCACCGCATTTAAGGTTTCACTTACCTTTGGAGCTTCGACAGCTTTATGTGAGAACTCTTTTTCCACACTGAAAAACGTTTTCAGTGAGCACCGAAGGAGCATGTCTCACACTCGGAAAGCAAATTTAATCCAACTTGGTTTCGAGAAGGACCTGACAAAAAAATGCAAGAATGAGTGGAAAGAGATGTTGCTGAGGAGGTTCCATTCATCTGGGAAACGTCGGCTACAGCTTTATTAGGCCCACCCTGAGTACATCGTGTAAGTAGCAAACAATCATATCACGATGTAGACTAAGGTTGTTTTCAAGCTTTAATGTGAACAAAATATTGGGTATTTTTCAGTGTGTTCTTTTCACTGTATGTTTGCCAATATATTTGTTATTTGTTATTTGTTTAATTCCACTTCTTTACGCCAAGAGACACACCTCTGCTTTAAAGTAGTTTGTGCAAACTGATGTTTAACATGTAATTTCCTCCTGATGCTCATCCTCTGAAATTAAAATACATTTGCATATTATATTTGTATATTTTCTGGCAGTATTCTGTTTTTTGCTGCATAACTAAAGCCGTCTGATATTCTATTAAATCTTTAAATGTTAACAGCCTTGACTCAATACATTGTTTTTTCTTAGTACATTATGCAACATTCTCACAGCTTTTTTCTGTAATGTAATTCAATGTTTTAAATTACTCATAGGTAATCCATCCATGGTGCTGAAGTAGCGTTATTTTTGTGCCTCTATCCTGAGCACATGTGTACATTTCCTATGCTCAAAAGGTTTCATTGCGTGCACAAACATAACGCCTAAATCTGTCTGCAACTATATATGCACATATGTTACGTTAAAATGGGGTGGGGCCTGGTGGTCGGGGGGTGGGCCCGCCCAGGTAAATCAAATGCCCGCCCAGAGATGTATGTCTGCCGCCGGGTCTGGTAAGGAGTACTTACTTCCAGGTGTAAAATTATCCGTTATCCAATGGGAATGGACGCTCACATTGCCTTTAACTGTCGCTGACATAGATCGATGCGGTGCTTCCCTGAGCGTCAAATACTGCCGCCGATGGGAATACATTGCAATCAGTTGAAAGCTCTTTGCGTCCGTTTATGAAGCTGAAGGAGACTAGGTGCGTCACAACTGCACGCCACGGGACCCTGACCAAGCGTCGCTATTGGACTATCAGGGAGTGAGACTGTGTTGTTGAGACAAGAAAAGCCTTATCTTGCAATGTTAACGAAAGGGAAAAATAATGTGTGTATTAAAAGTGGGGTAGGTAATTCACTTCAGAAACACTTTTTGTTATATTCCATGGAATGCTCTTAACATCCCGATAGCAATGAATATATTAAATGCTTTGACAATAAATACATACAAATTCATCTGTGGAAGCCGTAGCGCTGTAAAAAGCACGACCAATCATCTGAGCTGGCCCGCCTAAAGTAACTGGATGGCCTACCTGCCTGTCAGCCTTCCATCTGTGCACAAACTTATCTCGTGCCCTCATTGGTCATGTGCGCGTTCGTGTGTGTTGGAGGAGGGGCTCTGTAAGGAAGTCTGAAGGAAGAGGCAGATTTTTTCCGGTTGTGTACTTTCACATTCTAGCACACTCAAGCTGGTTTCTCCAAAATTACATACCCCACCTTTAAATCCTTAATTCGGATCCACCCATGGCCAAATCTATACCTTTCCACCAAAGTTTCGCGTGAGACTGCACTAACAAACAAACAACACCAAACCGAAAACATTCTTGACAGAGACTCTAATTTGTCAAATGAAGTTAAAGTCACTATTGATTTTCTTCAAATCCACCTTGAAAAAACAGTTCTGCTTTGATTGTCACTTGGAATAATTTCTAACAAGATTCACACAGTATAATACATTTGCAAGAACACCCACAAATAAGACAGCTTAGAGAAAGCTGAGAAATAAACAGAAGCAGTGGTGATTCAAATTTCACCAGATTACCGTTCTTGATAAACACACTCGCCCACGCACACAACAGGAGCGACACAAAAGAGAAACGCTTACACAACGTCATTGAGCTCCAGCCTGGTGTCAGGAGAGGGGTTGATCAGGACGTAAGACAGGGTGTTCTGGTGATCGTTCTGCTCATCTGAAACAGGAAAATCTCCTCAATCAGAAAACTGGATTAGTTGGGTTTCTATTATGCAGTTATGATATCATTTCTAGTTGCTAAAGGACTGTGATTTATGTCTTTACCTTGTAGGTATCCCAGGTTGACTCTGTTCATGACGTCGCTGGCTGTCAGGTTAGTGAGGTCTTCTGCACAGTAGAAACAGACTTTTTAAGGTTCTACTCACGGTTGTTTTAGGGGTTTTTCTTTGGGAATATATATTTGTGGTTTTGGCTGATATTGGGGTAGGATAAGGAAAGATTGACTGAAAAACTGAGCAAAACTGAAAAAATAATGGGCAAAATTAAGATTAAAAATGAACGGCTATTACACATCTTGAAGGATTTGAGAGGATTCAAAAGAGATCCGGAATTGATCGTCTTCCTTCGAGACTGGTATGTAATGTCTATTTTATTTACAGAATCCATTGTGTGATGTGGTTTTACGTAAATGCGTGAATTAACGTTGGTGGCTAAGACAAAGTCAACTTTGTTTCATCATTTCATTTTCATAGTTATTTTGTTAAATAACTACAAATAAACTTAACACAAAAAGTAAGGACATTTGTGTTTGGTAGATTATTTCTTTGTTGTAACAATGCTTCTTGGCAATACATCTTATACCGTTGGAAAGCCTGTATACTTACCTTTCAAATGGTGCGGCATTTGTGAGGAACATGCATTTGTGGGATGAAAAATGTGGCAATTCTCTTCTGCAATTGTTTAATAAAGAAGTTGCGTCTAAACAAAGGTCCAGATAGCCAGATTTTTATGACTAGAGGGGGTGGTGCTCATTGAAACAACTGCCGCTTTTGTCCACAGGGGCCGCTAAAATCAATACAAAAGTTCCGTTCTAGCTGCTTAAATCAGAAGTATTAAACTTTTTGGAAAATGAAACCTCGCTCTGACCAGTTGCCTCATGACCTTCCTCACCATATCCTGAGGTGGGGAGGCCCAGATGCTTCATGCGGTTGCGGACCAGCTCGGAGAGCTCCTCCCTCTCTGAGCGGCGGTACAGGTTGAGGCGCTGCTGGGCGATGCGCTGGCCATGGTCCCGGCTCGAGTCCCGGCTGGGCCCCTGCCACCTCACACTCTTCTTACTCAGACGCCGGGCCCACTGCATGCTCTTCTTCCTCAGCAGGGGGTGATCTGACTGGTCGTTGCTGCGAGACTCCTCCCCTTTCTCCTTGGTGTCCTCACATTCGTCCACACTGACTGACACCTGAGACTGAGGCGGAGACACAGGAAGTAACCTTTACATCACCTTCAAGTGTGTTTACGATAATAATACTTCATTAGTTACTTCAGTAACATGTTTTATATGAAAGAAAATACTCCACGAATCAGAATTGCTCCAAAATTAAATGAGTTCTTCTTTGGAAAATGGTCACCTTTCTCAAAGTCCATGATGATGTCTTAAAATATCTTGTTGTGTCAGTATATTTTTGTTGTCATGATATTAAACCTAAAGGCTGTACACAAATGTGTCTACCATTTTTGCATGAAAAATTATTTTAAAAATGTATCTATCATCAAGCTTTCCACTATCTATGGACTACTTTATAAGTTGTCATATAATTGCAGCTCAAAGCTTCCTTTGCGGAGGTAGCAAAGTGTTATTGCATCAAAGCTGGATGTTTAGCTTGTTACGACTTACAGTACATCATCTCAGGATCTCACCTCAGAAGTTGGGAAAATGTGAGATTCTGTCCGATAGATCCCAATAGGAATTTCGGCACTCGAGGAGCAGAGTTTCTGGAACAGTCTGCCATAAGTACTGATCCACAGATCTTCCTCTGTTACCTTCATCTGGAAGGAGGAACGCAGGGGTAAACTATGGCACTGTGTTAGATTATTAATTTTCTCTTAGAGATGTTTTTTATTTGATTAAACTCACAGCACAGAGGTATCCTGACCCTGGAGTGGTGTCCAGCCCCAGAAGCAGCCTTGCAATAAGGATCATGTAGTCCTTCACAAAGGACTGGAATCACAGAGAACATTTGACATTAACAGACAAAACAAAACACTTTGGTTTTCTACCACTGACTGAACATAAGAGGGCATGTTTGCTTCATTCTGCTTTGCTTCTCAGTTTCTTCAGGTAGTACTGCTGCTGTAGGATTTCATTTCTTTACCTGGCATTGAAAGTGTTATTGGAGGAGCTTTGCTGTAGGTGTGTACCAACCTGATACAGCAGGGTGTCCAGCATGCTGATACTGAACACTCGCCCTGCAGCGAAGGGTAGGCGAAACATGAAGGCCAAGTTGGAGCCTTTATCACGCTCTTTCTGTGTGGGAGAGACAAATTGAGCAACAGCAATGATTTTAAAGGTCTGTCACTTTTCTGATAGAAAGTCAGAGGGAAGTGGCAAACATAAAACAGTGGTACAAAAAGAGAAACACTCTCTTCTGCAACTCCTCTTTATATTCATGCTCATAACGAATGCCTTGTCTTTTATGCTGCTGCAACAAAAACAATTTCCCAAATTGGGATCAATAAAGTACCATCTTATCTTATCTTATCTTATCTTATCTTATCTTATCTTATAACTCTGCCCCATTCACCATGTTGTGTTTTACCTTCTCAAGTTTGGACAGGGCCAGTGAGTAGCAGTCCTTTGCCCTGAACTGCATGAATCTCATGTTGGAGGGATGAGTTAGCTCTGTGATGATGCTCAGACTGGGAAACAACCTGGAGAAAGAGAGAAGGGTGTTCACTTACAAAAAAACAATGTATTAATCGTATCTTACTACAGCCACAGCATTCTGGTTATGGCCATAGTCACAACCATCTTGGCAATTTTATAGTTATTCTGCAATTCTGTAATACTATGACAGTGACGTGAGCAGTGATGTGGTGATGTGACGTGCAACGTGGTTGTTAAAGGACATTGTGTGTTTGTTGTCCTCAGAATAAATGCCAGATGACATAGGAGATGCTTTGCTGTCAATTCTTCCACATACTCTATTGATAACGAGTCACCTGCAGTTGTGACCCGTTAAAACATTGATGCTCTCTTGTTTTTTGATTAAATTAACGTGCAGAAGAGTGCAGCTTTTGGTTGTGTTTTTTCATAAAAGGTCATTTTTATTTAAATGTTTCATTCTTTGTAATGTTCCTCATGTAAATAGTATATAATCATGTATTACTTTTTCAAAACGTTTAAAAAGTAGTTTCAATTCAAATGTAAACTTGAGTGGCTGTAGATCTGTCATTGTCATCAACAGTTTTTGTTTGTTAAACTGCTTAACTAATGATAAGATAATGGTGAAGAAATCATTAGTTAATGGGTATCTACTGTTTTTGATGCATTACTTTACTTGAGGGGACACAAACTGCTTAAGTAACGGTAGGTACTCATTAAGTAATGGGTAACTACTCTTTTTGTATGCGTTACTTGAGTTTACCATACCCAAACTGCCGAAGTAATGGTAAGGTAAGTAATGATGACTTAAGAAGTAACACGTGAGTCGGATCCCCCTCCACCAGTCGATCCAGTGTGGGACCCAAGCCAGCCGAAGATGGCCGGTTTAAAAGTGCCCTGCTGCAGCGGCCCTTTGCTTCAATCAAAGTCACTCAGGAACTCCTCATTAACTAACCATTAATGAATGATTCATTAATACAGTACCCCAGTCTGTTTACCAGTAACAAACCATCTTCAATCGCAGTCACTCAGGAACTCCTCATTAACTATCCATTAGCTATCTAGTCGTTCCTTATTCACTACTCAGTAACTAAGCACATTTTGTGTCCCTTATTGTAAAGTGTTACCACCTGTGCTCCCCTGATCCGAACACCAACGCACTAGTCCACCACGCCACAGCCTCCCTGTTACACTTTTCATTTCCAAGACAGTATTCTTATTTCCAAAATGTATGCATATGACAACAAAGCCTCTTAGTATTTGATAATTTACCAATATTTACCTAACTTTGATGTTCAAATTGCTCTTAAGAAAGGTCTTAAGAGAAATCTACGTCAGATTCATGACGTGTTCTTAATGATTAGTAGCCAAATCGACACATTTGACCGGAAATTATTTGGGTACTATTTAAAAAAAAAAAAAAAAAGTTCAGATTTGTATGCAGAAATATAGTTTTTTAGCCTCATAATTATGTAAGGTATGTATTCCTGTTTCTTTCTGTTTAAACCCTATTCAACTTAATACTTTTAACTGACGCTAAATATCATGCAATTCAATCTTTAAATGGCCATCACATTAGTAATACATATACAAGATTCATACAATGATGTTTTTCTGTTTCTTCTAACTGTTTCGCTGATAACACCTAAACCTTTTATTTTTAAATCATTTTAGCAATACTTCTGTTGTCCAAACATGATTTATACAAGTTTAAGAACAAAGTGATAATATACCATGCCATTAATAATATATGATAATAATTGTGATAAAATCTGCAGAATTACCTGAACATGGTCTGCACATTGACAATAGTTTTGGCATCAGCCATGTAGTCTTCTTCGGCACTCATTGTACTCTCTTTATCCACAACCACCAAATTATCAGCGTAGATAATTCCACACTGCAGCAGGCTGTCTAGACTGAAACACACACACACACGCGCGCACACACACACACACACACACACACACACACACACACACACACACACACACACACACACACACACACACACACACACACACACACACACACACACACAACAATAACTATCGCATCAGGACATCAACTTTCCTGGAACATGCTGCACATCCAATTTAAATCTCAGATGAGTAATAATAATAATGCATTACATTTTTTTATTAGAACGCTTTTACAGGTGCTCAAAGCGCTTTACAAGTACACATTACAGATATTAGACATGTAAGAGTCATTACTGCGGACATTACCCACAGGAGCAAATGCGGGTAAAGTGTCTTGCCCAAGGACACAACGGCCTGACGCACATACATCATGAGTACATCATCTTCTTCAACATGTTGAATGAATGTTATATATAAAAGCAATTTTAAATGAAATGCTGAAGCTCATATGACAGTGTTACTTGTCGATGGTCCCAGCCATGTAGTAGACCATAGGAAAACAGCAGATGGCCTCCAGGAAGTGATTATCCGGCCTGCAGGAAATAAATAACATATGATAGATCTATTTATAAATAGATTTATTTTATAAGCAGTGATGAGTAGTTCTTTATTACTAGTCACTTGGACTACTGCAATTCTCTTTTACTGGTCTCCCTGAAAATAATTGCAATTAATTCAGAACGCTGCGGCCAGGAAACAAACCGGCATCACTGCACTGGTTGTCTTTCAGAATGAATTTTAAAGTGCTTTTAATGATTTACAAGGCTTTATATAATCTTGTAACCACTACATACATCAGTGACTGACTTTCATTTCATAACAATGACATTCACATCCTCCAATGCCTTTCTTTTCGAAGTATTTCACCAGAAATCTGGATCCCATTGGATCTTAGAACAGCAAACTCCATTGGAATTTGTAAAAGTGAATCAAAGACCTATCTTTTTATTTTTAATACATCATTTATTTATGTTTATTGATGATGTACAAGGACTAAATTGACTTTTTTCTAGTCTTAACGCTTACAAGAGAAAGCCTTAAACATGATAAAGAAAACATTTGTAATGAGTATACACTTGAGGCTTTCTGCGTTTCTTTTAATCCCTATGCTATTTGTTGCATTTCTTTTTAAACTTGAAATCATGTAAAATAAGGAAAAGACACAATTGTGACATCTTGAAAATAGATATTATTTATATACTTTTTTAGCTTCATGGGCTATTCCAATGTAAGGCTTATTATCAAATGCAGCATGGTCATGCTCCTTCACTGCTGACGGAATTTGTTGAAAGACATCAGAAGGCAAAACATACAATAACCCTCAACAAATGATTACTGTCAAAAACTTTATTTGGAACAAAATGATGGAACTGACTACCAACTAAATTGGTTAAAATGCAATTGTAATGTTTTTGATAGAAGTATTTAGTCATGGCTAAAAGAGATACACTACCACCATACAGTAGATCCATATTTTATTTTTTAAAGCCTGCTGAAGACAGGTGTTGTTCTTTATTTTTTGCTTCAAATATTACCCACAGTGCATCTGGTCCTTGAGTGCTATGTATCTGCGATGTCAGATTTATGTAAAATAAACAAACACTTGTGTACAAATGATTAAATGGGTGCTGTTTTACTTTTGGTGTTGTATACATGTTACTAGAATAGAAGTTACGAAACAAGATACTGCAAAAATATTTGGCACGGAAACAGAAATAAACAATGGTAATGCACCAAAAGCCAAACAAATGCAAGAATTAATTGTGAATTTTGATCATCAAGTAAATCAGCAGAGCAGATTTAGCAAACTAATCTGCTGCTCAACTTCATTTTGGTATATGTGTTCACGCTAAAGCGATGATCCGTTTGGTGCTGAGCACACTCAGAGAGATTTAGTTGCTTTATTACTTCCTGCCCCCCACACAGAACAACTCTTCATGCATCTGCCGAGACCCAAGGCTGTCGTAAGCGCTCGAATAGAAAGTGTGTGGGTGTTTGTATTTGTGCGACACCGATGGAAGGGGGGAGGGAGAGCTGCATGTGTGGGGGGGCAGAGAGTTTATTGTTATTTGTGTGTTTCTATGAGAGTCCTGAGAGCTCGAATGTGGGGACTCAAAAGGGACACATCAGGGTTGCTGATGAAAGCCCGCTCGGTGTTCTCCAAAGAAATATTTTACTTCATCTTTTTATTTTTTTCTCCGCTTGTAGCAATATGTAGAATTGCGGTTCAAGGCAATGCAAGTTGCTATGGTTACTGTCTGGAGAGTGCAGCGTTTTATTCGTCTTCAAAAACACAAATCACTGTGAGTAGCAGCAGTAACCTCACATCAGGGCTAACAATGGACCTCCAACTCCACAGTCTTGTGCCACACCGACGGAAGCTTTCAGAGAAATTATGTTTCCATTGATTGAAGGATTGGTAGATCGTGTTTGTCCATTTTCAGACAAAGAAACACAAGTCTATAAAGGATACAATGTTAAAGCTAAAACCCTATAGTCCCAAGATCTTATAAGTAATAGAAAACGCAAGCCATGAAACAATACATTAAACTGAACTAAAACAAATCTTGAAATTGAAAATCATGTCACCAAAATTAAGAATATTACGAAATAACTAAATTCACATAATGAAAACAAATCATATTATTTCAAATGTTACTTCAAATCTTTTACTGTTCCAAATAAAAGCCATAATCTGATTTTATAAACTTCAATATTCCCTTAAGGCACTTTACATTGGTGGACACTTGCCCTATTATATTGAGAAGTGTGTGTTTGCTTTCCTGTACTCATTGGGACAACATTTTGAAAAACAACCCATTCTGTGAGGACATTTATGGGTATGAGGACCTTTAAAATGAATAAACAATTGTATGTCTGTGTGCGTGTGAGCATGTGTGTGTGTGCGTCCGTGCGTGCGAGAATGTGTGTGTGTGTGTGTGTGTGTGTGTGTGTGTGTGTGTGTGAAGGTGAACTCACGGATTATCCAGCAGCAGGACAATGGGGTTGAGTTCTTTTCTGGGTCTGTAATAAGCTCTGAGAGGAACGATAAAGTTATAAAGACCGTTCCCTGCTGTCTCAGCAGACACAATTATGAGCTTGTTTTTAAAACCATAAGCCTTAGCATCCTCAAAGCTGTTGTGCCTGCAACCCTGCATAAGAAACAAAAAAACAAAACAGGTATTTTAGGTTTGCGTTTCAGTCGTGAAGGACAGAGGGAGAGGAGGATAGGAAATGATGGAGGCAGTAAGTAATTGAGTGACTAAGTTGGAGCAGCGACTGCCCACCTGGTCCAGTCGTAGGCAGCAGAACGGAGCATTCTCTGCCAACAGATGGCACAAGGTGGGCGAGCTCCCGATGTACGGAGAGTTGGGGGGATAACCTTTCACGTACCTGCAAAGAAATCCAAAAAGCTTGGAAACAGACTGTGTTTAAAAAAGGATTTCCAGTACCAACAGAAAAAGCTGGTTTCCTAGAATTCACCTAGTCATTCATATGACCTTTAGAAATGAGATGTCAGTGCACTCAGGTTTTATTGCATGCTGGGAAAACTATTCAAAGAAAGATACCAGGTCTCCTTTGTAATGATAGTCTGAGAGGTTGCATAATGGGAAAACACAACAAGATTAATTTAGATAATATATGATTGTTCATTTGATTTGCATTTTGCAGGTTTAGCATATATTAAATGACTGTTGTTTCAATTATTTTAGGCTCCATCAGAAATGGGACAGCATTCATTAATTGATGTGTAGAACTATAAACAAGTGAAACTTATTTACATAAACTAAAAAATCAAAAGTATGATTACTTGTGTAGAAATATGTGCCCCTAGGTTACACTATTTTATGTTAAAATAATACATATTGATAGCAAATGTTTTACTCAAACTTGTATAAACAGATCTTATGTTGTTTGTAAAATGTTAAACTGCTATGTAACAAATAATTACAGCTATTGCACAAATGAAGGGTATAAAGCACAGTATTTCCCTAGTAAGCAGGATTATATAAGATGTACAAGTAACAACAACAAGCAAGTTACAAGCACATCCTATTTGTACTTAACTTCTAAACTACTCGTTCGTTTTCATCACTGGAAGAAAAAGACTTAAAGGTTATTCATAATAAAATAACTGTTACTGTAACTAATCAGAAGAAACTACGTACAAATGTAATTTTCAACACAAGAAATCTAACTGCAACGTGAGAAAACTGAAAGTCAGGTAACTAGTCTTTCTGCATTCAAAGTCGATGTTATCATTATCTAATAGCCTGCATTATTTGCTCCTTGTCATTTTGTTTTTAAGGTTTGATTATTAATGTTCAAACAGAAACCTTACTCAGTAGATTTCTCATCTGTGAAGACAGAGTCATCTTCTGATTGGTCGCTGAGAAGGTCACATGGCAGAATGGAGGAGGAGTCGGCGATCTCCTGAACTGGAGCGATGCTCGGCCGGCGACCCCCTGCTCCGTTTACTGAGGGCGGGACCAGTTTACCCCCATCAGGGGGACTCGTGTTGTGAAGATCCATGGCAACAGTGCCTGTAATTATATTCTCTCCAGCTTTATATCACACATAAGGAACAACTCATCCCTCAGTGAATGCCTGACGAGGCACAGCAGAGCTCACTGTGCCAGATGACAAAAAGGCACACAAAGCTCACAGAGACACAGAATGATACAAAGATACTCAAAATGACCACAAAGAGACCCAAAATGGCACAAAAATGACCTGAAACAACCACAAAAAGATAGAAATAGCTGCAAATTCACTCCAAAAATACCTACCCACTCACATATTGAGACATAAAATGACATTAAAGACACACAAAACAATTGCAAAAAGACCACAAACAATTACAAAGTGACATTCATCGACTATAAGAATATACAAAATTAATACAGAAACAATTTTCTTGACAAAAATACAACAAGACATACAGTACAGTAACTTTGAAGAGACATAAAATCACTTCATAGAGACGCAGGAAAGCTAAAAACAGACGAAGACAATTGCAAAATGACCTTTACCAACTACAAGTAGACACAAAATAACTACAAAAAAAACAAAACAATTACAAATGGACATTAAACAAAGTTAGATACATACCAAAAAGACACAAATACATGATCAGAAAACTACAAAGAGATGCACAATAACTTCTAAGTCTGTGTATATTTCTCCAGTTTAGGTGATGTGGGGTCTTTTGTCCCGTAATGCTCCTGTGCCTCTCACCCATGCTGGCGATGATGCTGTGCACAGGAAGCTGCGAGGGTCCGTCGTACAGCCCCCCCGCTGGGCGGCCCTTCCTCTGCTCCTGGTTGAAGATGAAGGCGGAGTTCTCCTCCTTGGTGATGTTGATGTAGTAGCAGGTGTCGGTGGCGGCCATGATGTGGCGGGGGCCGGGGTTCAGCAGGATGCTCTTGTTGTCGTCCTTCTTTATCCCGATCAGACACACGCCGTACCTGCACCACACACACTCGCTGTTAGCATTATATACTTTAGGATAATATACGGATGCACCGATACCACACATTTTCAGACCAAGTACAAGTACATGTGAGTACTTGACAATACCGAGTACCGATATGAGTACTTAATAATACCATTAAAGGTTAACTTTTCACCCCTCCTCTTCACAATTTAGCAAAGCTTATTACACGGCTTGGTTGAATACTCAATTCTGATTGGTCAATTCTGACATTTCAGAGGTCATTAACTAAGGAAGATCAAGGGAAGAGGATCAAGGGAGAGAAAGGAAAAGAGATTTCAAGTCAGAGCGCTGGACGTCAGATAAATCAACAGAAGAATGCAGACAGGAAGTGAACACTAACAGGAACACAGTATGGGCTACAGACAGGAAGCAAACACTAATAGGAACACAGTATGGGCTACAGACAGGAAGTGAACACTAACAGGAACACGGTATGGGCTACAGACAGGAAGCAAACACTAATAGGAACACAGTGTGGGCTACAGACAGGAAGCGAACACTAACAGGAACACAGTATGGGCTACAGACAGGAAGTGAACACTAACAGGAACATGGTATGGGCTACAGACAGGAAGTGAACACTAACAGGAACACGGAATGGGTTACAGACAGGAAGTGAACACTAACAGGAACATAGTATGGGCTACAGACAGGAAGTGAACAATAACAGGAACACGGTATGGGCTACAGACAGGAAGCAAACACTAATAGGAACACAGTGTGGGCTACAGACAGGAAGCGAACACTAACAGGAACACAGTAGAGATAGAGGAGATAGTCTGTGTGACTTACTTTAAATTGTGGGTAAGGGTAGATAGCTCCCATTATTCTGTGACCTGTCAGTCATCAGACCGGGGGTCATATTTCATTATGTGTTCATTGTTATCTGAAGTTGTAACCATGGATGTATAAAAAAGAGTTCTACTGCAAAGTTATTCTCCGTGGGGACTTCCGGCAACAATCTTGATTCTGATTGGCCAGAAGACTCGAAAAAACATCAGCAAAGATATTTTATTGAGAAGATGATCACTATGTGACAGAAGTTTTCAAAACCGTTTATGGTCTCCGGTACTTCCAGTCCAACGCCGACTGCATGCACAGCGTTAGAAAATCGGGCCTTCAAAGTCAAAGTTTGACTTTTTCCCCAAAAAAAAAATTCCAATTTTTTTTTTTTTCTTCACTCACACATCCGCGACCCACTCGAAACGGGTCCGCGACCCACTTTTGGGTCGCGACCCACTAGTTGAGAACCATTGATCTAGATGCTTCAGTAATGAACAATTACAGGCCCATATCAAACCTCCCATTTCTAGGTAAAATCATTGAAAAAGTTGTTTTTCAACAGTTGAGTAATTTCTTGCATTTAAATAACTGTTTCGATGTGTTCAGTCAGGCTTTCGTCCAAACCACAGCACTGAGACTGCTCTTGTAAAGGTCTTTAATGACATCCACTTAAACACAGACAGTGGCAGAACTTCAGTGTTAGTATTATTAGATCTCAGTGCTGCGTTTGACACTGTTGACCACAACATATTACTAGACCGACTGGAAAACTGGGTGGGACTTTCGGAAACAGTTCTAAATTGGTTTGAATCCTACTTAAAGGACAGAAACAACTTTGTTTCTATAGGTAAATATATACAAATATACAAATATGACATGTGGGGTTCCTCAAGGCTCCATCTTGGGGCCTCTTCTCTTTAACATCTACATACTACCACTGGCTCAGATAATGAAAAACAACAAAATAAGTTACCATAGCTATGCAGATGACACACACATTTACATAACCATTTCACCAGGATACTATTCTCCAATTCAAACACTGAGTAAGTGCATTGAACAAATCAATGACTGGATGTGTCAGAACTTTCTCCAATTAAACAAAGATAAAACTGAGGTAATGATTTTTGGAGCCAAGTCAGAACGTATCAAAGTTAGCACTGAGCTTCAGTGTGCAATGTTCAAAACAACAGATAAAGCCAGAAATCTAGGTGTAGTCATGGACTCTGACCTGAGTTTCAACAGTCACATTAAAACTGTTACTAAATCAGCCTACTATCACCTAAAGAATATATCTAGGATTAAAAGACTAATGTCACAGCAGGATTTGGAAAAACTTGTCCATGCTTTTATCTTCAGTAGACTCGACTACTGTAATGGTGTCTTTGCAGGTCTCACTAAAAAATCTATTAGGAAGCTGCAGCTGATTCAGAACGCTGCTGCTCGAGTCCTCACTAACACTAAGAAAGTGGATCACATCACTCCTGTTCTGAAGTCTTTACACTGGCTTCCTGTGTGTCAAAGAATAGATTTCAAAATACTGCTGCTGGTTTATAAAGCACTGAATGGTTTAGGCCCAAAATACATTTCTGACCTCCTGTTAAATTATGAACCATCCAGATTTCTGTCCCCAGAGTCAGAACTAAACATGGTAAAGCATCGTTCAGTTATTATGCTCCAAATATCTGGAACAAACTCCCAGAAAACTGCAGGTCCGCTGCAATTCTGACTACTTTTAAATCCAGGCTGAAGACTTTTCTTTTTGCCGCTGCTTTTAATTGAACTATTCATATCTTAGACTGCACTGTAACTTTTATCCATGTATTTTTTCTTTTAATGTTTATTTTATTAGCTTTTATTTTTAATGACTGATTTTAAATGCCATTTTCTTAATGTCTTTCATTTTTTGTAAAGCACTTTGAATTGCCTTGTGTTGAAAGGTGCTATATAAATAAACTTGCCTTGCCTTGCCTTACAGACAGGAAGTGAACACTAACAGGAACACGGAATGGGCTACAGACAGGAAGTAAACACTAACAGGAACACGGAATGGGCTACAGACAGGAAGTAAACACTAACAGGAACACGGAATGGGCTAGACAGGAAGTGAACACTAACAAGAACACGGAATGGGCTACAGACAGGAAGTGAACACTAACAGAAACACGGAATGGGCTACAGACAGGAAGTGAACACTAACAGGAACACGGAATGGGCTTTGTAGTGTTTAAGGACTTGTTAGTGGAACATAAACTGTGAACAGACCTGGACAGTTACAGAAAACATAGATCAGAGCTGCTGTTCATTTTAAATGAAGTTGTTACCGCAGTTCCAGCCTTTGGTGTGCCGTGAAACAGAGTTTTTTTTCTTAGCAGAAGCAATACAATCATTTTCAAGTCAATAAAAATAATTTCAAAGTTAAGTGGCCGTGTAATGAGCGGGATATTGTGTCATTATTGAACACCTTTCAGGATGATAAAGATCGATCTGTTGGGTGTTCTTTTTTTAATAGTGACCGCCTTGCTACACATTATACTGAACATCATGATGTCTGCAGCCTGCTCTACTTTTGTCATCACTGCTTATCCTAAAATATTTCCAAACTGCAGACATTGCTCCTCCTCTGCATACCTTCTAAATTGACGAAGGGTTAACGTCATTACAGTAAAGCGGTATCGGGTGCGGTTGGATCGGAGTAGAAAGTTATTTATTGTTAATAATTCAAATGATATTTGCCCGGAGATCTGAAAATAAGACTCAAGGGAGTCACTGTGGGCAAAGGAAGTAAATAAGAAGTAAAATAAGTCTCAAAATTCAAACTATTTCTTCAAACGAAACAAGAAAGGGTTTTCTTGTCATGAAAGAGTTCAATTCAAATGTTGCAGCACTGAGATGAAAATATCCAACCCTGTCTCCTAAAAATTACGTTCCCACAGAACTAAACTGCATTCTCAATTACGTTTAGCTTGAAACGTATTTTCTCCTACGTTACGTTCGTTATGAACGTATCTCAAATACGTTTATTTCTACATATCTTCTAGAAGCATATTTTCTCCCACGTTACGTTCGTTATGAACGTATCTTAAATACGTTTATTTTCTACATATCTTTACCATTTATTGTCTTGCTTATAATAATGATAATAGTCATTTATAAATATCATTTTAGAGCACACATTTGAAATCAGTAGGCGAGGCTGTAATTTCGCCAGCTGTTACTCTCATGAGCGAGGCAGAAAATAATAGTTTTTAACATGCCAAAAAGCTGCTGTATCGTTTATTGCACCTCAAACATTAAAACAAATCCAGAGTTACGTGTTTCTGTACTTCCTCTAAGAAGAAAGGACAGTAAAAGAAGATATCTGTGGCTTCAGGCTTGATCGCCGTTCAAATTACAGCGTTGGTTTCCCCAAAACTGGGCGGGGCTGTAAAGTGACGTAGATTTTACTCTCCTATTATTCAAAACCATTCTATTTATTCTAACGTAAATTACATGCCAGTGTTTTATCTTTTTATTGTAAATCGTATAATGTCGGACTTTTTTTCCCGTCTGTGAGGAAAATAAATGGGGCTTAGAGCCTCAAAATACTGAAATCTGTATTTTTGAAAATCTTTTTTTCCTTATTTACTCAACAATAACACACAATTATCCTTGTTTTTATTTATTCGTTTAATTCTATAATCTTGGGCTTTTTAGCATGCTTTTTAGCCGTAAATAAAGTCACCGGAAACAGACGTAGACCTATAAGGGACATTTTGAGGATACACACAAACCCACTGAACAGATTACCCAAGATCCTCAGCTTGAAGCTTGTTGGGATATGATGTTAATGCGATATGATATCCGGAAAAAAATTAATAAAATTATAATAATAATACTTTATTCCGAGTGTTCTTGCTTTTCTCTTTGGAGGTCATCACATAACGGCATTGCAATACACGGTTCGGCTGCATTAAATATTACACATCTGCTGTAGTTCTTTATTTATAGAGCCCTGATGAGAAGACTTCTGGACAAACAGGAGAACTTCCGCCAAAACTGAATATGTGACGTGGATCATCAATATATCAACAATTAAACAACACCTTGCATTTCTTTTCACAAAATACGTCTCCTTGCAGTATCAACATTAATTCGGCTGACTTTTATATTTGATCCAATTGGTAGATAGGTTACATTTACACCATAACGGTGCACAGCTGATAGAAAAGGACTTGTAGTTTTTAAAGATATTACTGATTTTCTTTGAATATAAGAATGTAATTACTGAGTTGAGAGAATAGTCAGGGAATTTGGGTGATGGGAGACACATCTATGGAATCACAATTTCAATAGCTTACCATTAAATGACGGATATGGCTTTCTGTCTGTGATTTTTTACAAATCAGATATTAATGTGTAGTAAAACATGAGAAATAGTATAGCAATATCCTGTAAAATTATATAAAAACATGAATAAAACTACACATCTTCAGATGTTATACATACATAGTGTCCTACACTAATAATACAAAGTTATTATTAGTATGCTGTGTGTACCTTGTGTGCACCGCCTAGTGGTTAAAGCACGTTATTGAATTATTTTTGTTGAATAATGTTATTTTTGTTGAATAATGTTATTTGATGAAAAACATATTAAGAGTACATACTTTCATAGGGGGAAAGTAGAAGGTCTGTGATAGAAATATAGAATATTAAAAAATCAAGAAGATACTGTAAAACAGTTTAGTGCTGGATGTACAAAGATATTAATATGAGGATGTGCAAAACAGACAAACTAATTAACCTTTATTAACACATTAAATAATACTTTAGGTTAAGGTCTTCTTTCAAATAAGAAAAAAGTTTTGGGGGTATCTATCTACAGATAAATATTAAGCCTGACAAAGTACTTAACGTCTAATGTATTGCTTTCCTGCAATGTTAACTATGTTGAAGCACTTATTTTAACTGATATTATACACATTAATTATACTCTTATGTATGTAGATAGTATAAGAAATGTGCAGAATTTGACAGTTTAATGGTGGAGGTACACACATATTGAAAGATGTCTTGTTGCACTGTTGAGGAACCTGTGACCCAAGTTTTTCATTCATTGCATAACTACACCATTGTTGTGTATATGATATGTCAATAAACCTTAGAAAATCTTGAAATCTTGAAAGGGATGTGCAAAATAGCAATTATATACAGTTTTTTATTAACTATTAGTAGAGAATAACGAGTAATTAATATACTCTTTATAGAGATCTGCAGATAAATGTTTAGTCTTCTCAAGCACCTACTATCAAATATCTCTCCTGATTGTTGGCACTTGACAATCACCTTTCCCTGAATTTGACTCAGGTGTAACTAAAGTCTGCTTTAAGGGTTGTTTATATTTCACATCATTAATCAGAATCTGCAAAGTAACTAAAATAAATGTAGTGGAGTAAAAATACCAGGTTAACCTCTGAATTGTAGTGGAGTAGAATATATATTAATGCTGCCCATTATGGATACAAGCGATTTTCACCCATTTAGTAATTACATGTTTTAATGTGTACACACCAATGTGTTTCCTATCGCCTAAACCTCCAAGGCTGTACACACTTTAATACTGTCAACTTCTAATTGTTGGAAAAACGAAAACGTCTTTTAAAACTACAATTCCCAGTAGAGACGTGCCATAGAGAACATGTTGCGAAACACAATAGCCAGCAAGTGTAGTTCTGGGGGGGCGTTCGAGGCCAGTTTTGAATAGTCTGCCGTGGTTTCGTTCCATTTCAAAGAGCTTGACGCTCGGCGTAACCTTGGCGCACTGCCACTCCAACATCCAATCCCAGAGCTTGAAGATTAATCACGGGGTTTGTCAACGGGACTGTAGTCCCAAACGATAGCAGGGGATTATGGGTAGTGTAGTGTCTTCGGCCATCCTAAACTGAAATGTTTTTCGGATATCATATCGCATTAACAACACCACATCTGGCGTCACAGAGATCTTCTGTTACTGTCCTTTCTTCTTAGAGGAAGTACAGAAACACGTAACTCTGGATTTGTTTTAATGTTTGAGGTGCAATAAACGACAGAGCAGCTTGTTGGCATGTTAAAACTATTATTTTCTGCCTCGCTCATGAGAGTAACAGCTGGCAAAATTACAGCCTCGCCTACTGATTTCAAATGTGTGCTCTAAAAGGATATTTATAAATGACTATTATCATTATTATAAGCAAGACAATAAATGGCAAAGATATGTAGAAAATAAACGTATTTAAGATACGTTCATAAGAAACGTAGCGTGGGAGAAAATATGTTTCTAGAAGATATGTAGAAAATAAACGTATTTGAGATACGTTCATAACGAACGTAACGTGGGAGAAAATACGTTTCTTGCTAAACGTAATTGAGAATGCAGTTTAGTTCTGTGGGAACGTAATTTTTAGGAGACAGGGTTGAAATATCACGCTTTAGACAAATAACTCACATATTCATACAAAAGAATAATCTGACAGCCCTGTAACTGTCTCTGTAAATTTTCAACTTTTCAGCATCTGAAGAAGATGCTTTAGCTTACACGTCAACTCACTTCTTGTGAGCATGAAAGGAGGCGTATGTAAAGCTTTTGCCATTATACTCTCCAAAGAACTTGCTGTCACACACTCGGATGTGGTACACCTCGTTTCCAGAGCAACAACCGTACATCCTCTGCCACTGCTCCGGAGACTGCTGTCCCTCTCTGCATTCACACAGGAAAAACACAAACACACATACAACAGATCAATGAGCCTAGTCGTTTTTAAAGGGTTAAACCAATTTGACACATATTCATGAAGTCATGCTAAATCATTATCCTACTCCAAAAGGGTTTTCTAACACCTTCCTGAGTCTCCGGTAATAATTGGCTCAAGTGCTTTTATTGAGTCTGATGGACTGCGAGAGATGCTCAGAACAACCCTGAGGTAGGAGTCTATGTACTTGTTTCTAAGCAGTAATTCATATTAACATAAGAAGAATTATCCAACATGTGGCACACTCACTGGTTTCCCTACTGTAACACAAGGTAAGAGACAAAAAAGCCTGCTCATTATTATCAATATCTCCTAGACTCTTTTAAATGTATTGACCATGAACCTCTTTGATGTCCCTAATTTAATTTCATGTACTCAAATCCTTGAGTCCACACATGCAATGCAAACTCAAAACAGCATAGTATCTTAAACATGTTGTAAAGCTAAGTAATGACCTTTCTATTTAATAATATTGTGTTGTTGGTCTTCTGGTGATTCCCACCCCTTAAAACAAACTAACTTCCTCATACACAATCCACAATCACAAAGCTATAATATTCATGCAATCTCAAAGCCTGTTTGTCTTTGTCGAATACAAATACAACAGGCTTTCTATTCTTAAGAGCAGGCAGGAACAAAGAAAGTGCTGTTGCTCAGTGATTCCCCTTTGTTGCAGTTTCACTTAGTCACTGACATCAGCTTTTAAAAGTGATCTGTCAATAACCCATTTTCCAGCAGAGAGCTTTTCACACTGTTTTACAAAGAACACATCCAAAGAAATCAATTTAGTCACTGCCTGTTTTGTCTTCTTGCCTCATTTGAATCTCTCTTTACTTCCTGTGCCTTTTGTTTTACACAGGGTTATTCAACTCTCTGTGCCAGTTCCATAAACACTTCTCTTTAAACATGTGAAGAAATGTTAACTTCACATTGAGAAGAAATCAAAAAGCCAAGCTAAGATGGCTGACCGTCCGCGGGAGGTGTGCACGAGGAGCGTGACCAGGGTGGAGGTGGCGGGACACACACAGTTGAGGGCCAGCATGGCGTACTTGAACTCCTCCTCACACACAACATGATCTGAAAAAAGGCAAAGACGTAGAAGTTACTTAGCACAACATTTTCCCTGTTTCCAGTCTTTATGCTAAGCTAATGAGCTTTCAGCTCTTGCCTCATATTTAATCATGCTGTTTTTGACCACTTAGTGACGTTTGGGGATAATACATTTGGCAAACTGCAACTGTTGTTGGTAACTTACTTTATCTGTTTTTTGCCGTTTTATTTTAACAACGTGATTGCACCAATCTTTCCATATTGTTGCATATCTGCTGTAAGCTAGCTATCTAACATTTATGAAAACAGACTGACAGAGACAGTTTGCGTTGAGTTAGAGCTTCTTGCATTCTTCAAGTAACTTTTACCTGCAAATTTCACATGAAACTTATTTTCAGGTTTGAGTATCTGAACATAAAGGGGGCAATTGGGAGCAAAGTCCTTCACAGCCCAGGCTCTCAGGATGGTCTGATGGTCCTGAGGGAAAACAGTCAAAGATAATGCATTATTAAAGTAATCTCCTCTAATTAATTGCTAACTGTCCTGATGACTGACAGCATTAATGACTTGGTAATTGTAAACAAATGAACGACAACTCTTCTTACCGCTGCCATGCGATCCACCTCGTTACGACTGCTCAGAATAAAACAGGCCTCAGCGTCATCCATTCTGCAGAAACAGTAAAGTCAAATTCAGCCATGACCTTGAACCAGACAGAAGAGACAACAGAGACATCCTTTGATTTAATATTGAATGTAACGTATAGACCAGGGCTTCTCAAACTCCGGACCGAACTGCAAATCAATCCGGACCGAACCCTGTGTCCCATTATACTTTTTTTTTTTTAAATGATAAAAAAAAAAAAAAAATGTTCTGATTCTGATGTAAATTAAAGTGGACCTATCATGCTATATTGGAAAAATATATTGTAGGGCCATACCTATACAAAACATGTCTGTGAAGTTTTTTGCTTAAAATAGCAAACAGATCACCCATTGTAGCCATGCCTCATACTGCTCATACCCCTCTTTTGCAGCCCTGTTAGAGAAACGCGGATTTTGGGTCCTTAGCTTGAAAAAAAAAAGCTCAAATGCTTTTTCTCTTGCGGGTTTATCACAAGGTGAGTTCCTTTTTTTATTTCCTGCTTTTTAAACACATGTGCTCTACAGTACAGGTTAGCTCTGAGTATTAGCGAGGCTTGCTAATGTAAACAAAGACAAGATTACGTCCAAAACACGTCAGGCATTGTTTCTGATAGCAATTTTCTGTGGGTCCGCCGCCGATTTGACGTCAGATCGGCAGCAAATATGTATCTGCTCGTTGTACACCCGTTTTTTTTAAAGATTTGGGTACGGAGGAAAAGAGAGAGGGTTTTATTTTCTGACGCTGCGTGAGTTCCCCGACGCACCGGGACTTTACTGGCATTGATCCGGACCATTGACCTTGTATAAAATTCACAAGTGGACCTTTAACAAAAATGTTTGAGTACCCCTGGTATAGACGAACACACAAAGTGCAGCCTGGTATGCTCTGCCCTGTATATTTTGGTCTGTAAACGTGGAGCTGTTTTTATGATTATGACAGACAGGAGAATGAAAAACAAGAGTGGGAGGATTGAAACGGTGCCAGATGCAGGATGTGAGTGCGACACAGACCCTGTCCTCCACTTCTAATTGCTCTATCACAAACCTGCCAAATGTTTACAGTGAAGTTATATAACCAATTTCAGTGAAATTAATGTTTGGTGTTATGGTGCTCCCACTGTTGTACAAGACTTAAATGCCATTTTCCAATGCAATTGTATCTTTCCTTGTTGTTTCAGTCAGAGATGGAGTACTCGAGACTCGAGACTCGACTCGGACTCGTGCACTGATTGACTGCGACTCAGACTTGGACTTGTGAATTCTCGCGCATGATGACTTGGACTCGGACTCGTGAATTCTCGCGCACAATGACTTGGACTCGGACTCGTGAATTCTCGCGCACGATGACTTGGACTCGGACTCGTGAATTCTCGCGCACGGTGACTTGGACTCGGACTCGTTACTTTTCCCCCCCACTCGACTTGTACATTGACGCTCCGACTTGGACTCGAGCAAGTTTTCTCTGGAGTCTGATGTCCTCTATCCTGGCTTGTGCACCTGCGAGGCGAGTTCACGTACTGGGCCCCGCTGTTCCAGTCTAAAGATGTCTAGAGACACACCCTGCATCGTGCTGTATGCTTTCACACATTCTGCTTCCACATTGGAAAAGAGCAGCGCAAAATGCTCGTTATGTGAAAAAAAGATTGAAGAGAAGGCTCCGTAACACATTACTCTAAGGATCGAGTTCAGACATATAGGCTGTCTTGAACACTATCATCAGAGTAACGTGATCTAATCAATAAATACAGATTCAGCCGATAACACGAAAGCACATGGCTACTTAACATAGAGAATGTCATTATTTTGCATACTAAGTCAACACGTTCTCACTCCCAACCCGTCACATGTTGGGACGGTCAGGGCCCCTCCCCGTCACTCTATTACGGACAGGGTACCCCTTGAGAGTCAGTTTTCAACTGGCAGGGCGTCCCATAGACCTTCATAGACCTCCCATAGCGTTGATAATAGACGCCATGAGAACGCTCCCCGACGGTCGGTTGTTATTGTCAATATTAATATAATAATTATTTATTTTTTAATAGTCACACTCGATTTCGCTGATTTTCTTGTTGCCCCAGCTGGTCGACACCTCTTTTAGCAGAAACAAAGGCTACATTAATGTATTAAATCGATGTTAATCCATGTGTGTGGTTGTGGAATTAATGGACGTGCCGTTGTGCGATTGCGTTGCCCCCCTGGCAACGCAATAATTTACAAACTCTTCAACTACAACCCTAATTATATTTAAAAACATTTTAGAAGACCTCATGAAATACTTTAATGTAAATGTGAAGGGATGTGTGTAATGTGGTGATTGACATTATTAACCCACGGATCTATGGGTTGGGGTATTGTTCCGCACGGACATTTTAGTTAACCGGACTTCCTGTTGATGTGAAATCTGAAAACATTTTTTAAAAATAAAATAATACTTTATTCCGAGTTTGCTTGCTTTTCTCTTAGGAGGTCATCACATAACGGCATTGTAATACATGGTTCGGCTGCATTAAATATTACATATCTGCCGTAGTTCGCTATTTATAGAGCCCTGATGAGAAGACTTCTAGACAAACAGGAACAACTGCCGCCGAAACTGAATATGTGACGTGGATCATACATATATCAATTAAACAAAATCTTCAATTTCTCTTCACAATATATGTCTCCTTGCAGTATCAATACTAATTCGGCTGACTTTTATATTTGATCCAATCGGTATATTGGTATATTTACACCATAACGGCGCACAGCTGATAGAAAGGGACACCTGGTGGTTAAAGCACGTTATTGAAATGTATTATTTGTATTATTAGATATGAATAGGAGACACAGACAGACAAACTAATAAGGCTTTATTTAAACATTAAAGAATACTTTAGGTTAAGGTCTTATTTTGAATAAGAAAAAAGCTTTGGGGGTATAAATATTAAGCCTGACAAAGTACTAATATATTGCTTTCCTGCAATGTTAACTACTGCATGTTTAAGCACTTATTTTAACTGATATTATACTCTTATAAGATGTATGTAGATAGTATAATAAATGTGCAGAATACGACAGTTTAATGGTGGAGGTACACACATATTGATAGATGTCTTGTAATGCACTGTTGAGGAACCTGCGACCCAAGTTTTTCATCTCCGACCTTGTCAGGTATTGAACAATCAATAAATAAAGAACACAGAATTATTAAATATAAAACACAGAATTTGTGTGATTATACTAAATGATTTACAAATAAACACCACTGCATATTTACAACTGTTACACATGCTGATGTAACGCAAATGTTTCCAATTTGGGATCAATAAAGTATATCTTATCTTAAGATGATCGATGGCTACTGCCATATTTGCAAAATGTGCCTCTGAACCTTGACAAGTGCATGTTTCAGGCTTATCAATGAACAACAGGAGGGGTCACAGACATAAGACCAGCTGTTAAATAAAGCTCTTCTGACCTTAGCTGGCATGTGGGTATATATATTAATGCCGCCCATTATGGGCACAAGCAATTTTCACCCATTTATTAATTATATGTTTTAAATTTGAGTGTTTCCTATCCCCTAAACCTCTAGGGATGTACACAGTTTAATACTGGCAACTTCTTATTATGGGAAATACGAAAACCTCTTTTAAAACTACAATTCCCAGTAGAGACGTGCCATAGAGAACATGTTGTGAAACACACAATAGCCAGCATGTGTAGTTCTGGGGACGGGGTGGGGGAGGGGGGGACGGGGTGGACCCGTTCAAATCCAGTTTTGGACAGTCTGCCGTGGTTTCATCCCATTTCAAAGTGCTGTTCGACGCTCGGCGTAACCCTCGGCGCACACTCAAACATCCAATCACAGAGCTTGAGGACTATCACAGGGTTTGTCAAGCGAAGCGGAGAGAATACTTACTTCCGGGTGTAAAATGTAAAATTCTCTAAAGCAAGTTGCAACTGATCTGCTCCGACCCTCGGTCCTGACGGACTCCAACTTGTGTTTAATTAACAGTGTGGTTTAGAAAATAATACAAAATTAGAAGGAAAAAACGATGAAACAATAAAGATTTCAGTATTCTGAGCCCCTACTCTCCCCATAACTGACGGCAACAAAAGTCCTACATTATTCAATTAAAATAAAGAAGTAAAAACAATAAGTGTGGCTTGAATTGAGTAATAAAAAGGTTGATAAACGCTGTGAGAATGGATCTGCCGAGAGCATTTCGCCGCGATCGCAACTCGTCTATTACCAACGTTCAGGGAGCTCTATGCAAGTCAATGGGACGCCCTGACTCTCAAGGGGTACCCTGTTCGTAATAGAGTGACGGGGAGGGGCCCTGACCGACCGTCAACATGTGACGGGTTGGGAGTGAGAACGTGTTGACTAAGTAGCCATGTGCTTTCTGGGGCTTAATCTTTATTGATAGAATTTCAACATTCACTTTAATAATTGTAGCGTCCCCGGCTGAATGATGGTCAGACTCTCTAACTGATGGGATCTGTTTATTGCACACTCTTGATTGTATACAATCATTACCAACGTAAGAGCTTGTGCCCTTATCAGCCAGGTGCTAAAAACCGAATGCAACTATTTAGTATATGTTAATTTATTCGTCATCTATCCGTCATTATCGGTCATTATCATAGACTGTATATATAAATGGACGTAGTGTCCGTGATGTCACCCATAGAATTCTGGAGATTTTCAGAGAAGCCCTTACGGCCCGTCTACACTACAGGCATCGAAAAATGCTTTCAACGCTTCACCCATTCATTTGAATGGGGTGACGTAGAAGATTTTTAAACTTCGCCGAACTGCATTGTGGGGAGCATGGCATGGCTTTGCAAGCATCACGACGAGCATCTATCGGCGTCAAAAGTTGTTCAACTTTTGATGCTCGATGCTTGGCATCAGCCAATCAAATCCCGCGTATGCAAATCTGACAGTACAAGCGCTAGCCAATCAAACCGCGTGTATGCTAGGAGAGACTACGCAGGTCATTTCCTCATAGTCAAAAAAATGGAGGGAAAATTCATTATAGCGGTAGTGAATCAGGAGCGAGGCATGGAGGGAGGTGGCAGAGACAGTGGATGAAACTGGTAGGTTTTCACCTGTTTGGGGATTTTATATCCAGTTTACTTCGTTTGAACATTGCTATTGCTTTGTATGCCGGGGGCGGGCAGGAGATTCCTGATTGGTTGTTGGTCGCCTTTGGCACGAGAAATCGCCAAGCCTCAGACACGCCCAGCTTCAAGATTTTTTTATGCCTGTAGTGTAGACGGGGCGTTAGTAGGTGGAGTCGGCCACTAACGTCTCGACAGTGACGTCAGAGTCTAACTCCCGCCTGCTCCAAATAAGGGCAAAGAGGCGGAGCCGAGGCGGGACCTGCTGCCACCGAGCTGGAAGTAACAGAGCTAGCTCAAGCTAAGAAGCTAAGCTAACATGAAATACATGCATACCAAGTTACTGCGTGGCACTTTGATTTTGATCAAACAGTGTAGTTCCACTATATAAACGTTACATTCATAATCAAACTAGACAATCTGCAAGAGAATCAGCTATTTGTTGTTATTCTTAATGCTTGTCATTCACACGTTAATAAAATTAAAAAAGTAGCCTACCGATACATAGCAGAACAATTGTCGTGATGTTCAGCTTAATAAGCCTTGTTCAACATAATTTATTTAGCTAATACTACAGCGGGCTGCAGGCGAACCAAGTCCGCGTTTCGCTGCATTCCTTGATATGCCGCGGCATTTGCGCCGTCGGAGCGAATTTGCGTCCGTCCGCATCTCTGCATTGACTTTATTAAGTGCCTTGTAACTTATTTTTGTATAGTTTCACTCTGTTTGAATGTCAGTAGACTGCAAATAAGTCAATAAAGGAGCATGGCTGCTCATTCCCTGGCTCTCAAAAGAGTTTGGCTGGCTGTTTAATCTATGTTCACACTGAGACAGTACAACACAGTGTGTAAGTACATACAAGCAGGTCACACAGTATGATCACAACTACATAACATCTGTTAAAAATCTGTTTTTATTAAAAAGTACAGGCTGCATATGTTCTCAGCCTTGGAGACACTTGACATGTTTTGGTATGTGTTTGAACCTCTCTTTAGTGGTTCATTAATAAAAACAGATATTTGAACGTGTGCCTACTTTGTTCATGTACTGTTGAGGTTCATTTCAGTAGCTTTGTGCTATAATGTATTTACAAAGTGTGAAGAGGAGGCCACTTTAGAATAGGGAACATGTTCAGGTCAATTAGAGTCAAACTAATAGCTTATTGGTTATGAACAAGACTTCACTTTAAAATAGGGAATATATTCTAGAAATACCTAATGTTGAGTTATTTAGACACAATTAACACTTATAGTTTTATGTCTTGTAGAATAGATCATATTTTGTAAGTGTTATTATGGGATAATTACTATTCTTGTGGTACTACTGCCTTATTAGGCCCATATTGAGCAGAGCATATTAAGACCAAAACTCATGTACAACAACTTCCTTACTTGCAATAAATAAGCACTAATTAGAGGGTTATTGAGGAAAAACTCTCAACTAATGGCTTATTACTTGTAGAATATGGTCATGTAGAATAAGGCATTAATAAGTGTTTTATAATGACTAATAAAGAGCCAATATACTGCTAATATGCATGTTAATTAACAACTAGTTGATGGTTAATTTGTGTACCTTAATATAAAGTGTTACCAGAAATGATAATAATTACACAGATGAGTGTAAACATATAAACATATTATTATCACTTCAGCTACCAGACTAAGAGCTCTTACATACCTATATTTTATTTCTGATTTTATTTCGATTTGTAATTACTTGATGAGGTTTCCCAAACCATTAATCATCAATCAGGCCTCTCTTTCTAACAACTGAGATTGCATTTATTTCACAAACCTTAATCGTAAGATGTGTGGTATTTCTTCATTCGAAGATATCATTTAAATAACTGTTTAAATTTGAATGCCATTTTTTCCTGAAGAAAAGTTGTCCTTTTAGTTTAACTAAAATGTAAGAAATAAACTAAACAGTAAAAGTACAAATGTGCAAGGAATACATAACCTAAATGTACATTTTTACCATTTTTATTTATTTATTCATTTGACTTATTATTATTCATTTTATTATCCGCAGTAGTATTATTTCCGTTTATTTTCATTCATTAATTTTTTTTACAAGTATCTAATTTACTCTTGTCCTTCTATCTGTAATTAGTTTGAATATCATTGAATTCCCTGAATTGATCTGAGAGTGGATGCAGGTTATACTGCACTACCTTCACACAATGCACACCTCACTCTGCAGATATCTTCAGCCCAGAAGCTCTGATCTTTAAGGTGTTTTGAGACCTATTTGCTGTCCAGACTTTTGAAAAGTAGCTGGAGTGAATAGGATCTAAAGATTCCCCAAATAGTCATTTAACTATAGTGATACCATTTATTAAAACTAAAACTCACTGTATAAAATGAGCTGCTGGCAGCTCTAAGATTACCATCAGCCACATTTAACTTTACAAACACAAACTTAAGACAAAGAGAATTCAGTTCTAAAATGTTTGGGTGTTTTATTTGTAATGTGTTGTTGCTTTGAGCCCTCAACCTGAATTCCATCCAGTTCCATTACGTTTAAGTGAAGGCAGACTACACTAGGGCAAATAACTTCAACACTTTGCAACTGACACCAAAACAATCTAGATTCTAGGAAAATAATGCATTTTTGCTTTGATTTAAGAGTCACTCACTTGGCTCTGAGCAGGTCCTGGTCTTTGAGGACAGACCCCTGCAGGTAGATGACCCTCTGAGACCACAGAGGGATCTGCAGCACTCTGCGCACCTGCAGGTCCATCTCACTGGGGCACAGGATCACCACGTAGTAGTCCTTTAAGAATACACAAGAACACGTGTGTATTCCACTATGGAAGATGTTAATGTCACAACATTTAGTTGCAAATACACCAATGTCTCTTAGTTACTACATGTTTTTTCTTTTAAAAATCCTTAAACACACAATTTTCAAGATGTCGCCAAAATACTCAGATCTTTTTATTTCTTTAAAAGTAGTGAAGCAGTGATCTAGTGGAGGTAAAGTATAAAGCTGCAGAAAACGCAAACACTAAAGTAAAGTAATGGCACCTTGAAGTGGAACTGAAGTGGGCTACAGTCCATCACTGCCTCATCACACCAATGTGTGTACACTGCAGTATATAAGTGTGTGATGTTTGGTACCTGCAGCCTGGGGTGTGCGTAGAACTCATTGAGAAAGTCCATCAGCAGGTCTATCTTCAGCGCGCTGACACACAGCACCACGTGTTTCTCCGTCTGCGCGCGGTGCCGGCTGTAGTTCCCTCCAGACTTCTGTCTCTCCATCCATAGATACATCAGCTCCTCAAACTGACACACAGCAAGATCACTGAGTAACGCTCACACACACAAAATAAACATTCAGCAGATAGCCAAGAGTATTAATAGAGGAGCAAACCCCCCAAAATGCTTTAGTTTTTGAGAAACATAATTTAATATGTTTTTGGAATGTATGGTTAAGATTATTTTATCTATATTCAGACTCAAACGCACTTCAATGTGCTTTACGTAAAGCATTTACACAAAAAACAAATGAAAAAGAAAACAAGACAATTCATAAAAAATGAAGATATATATAATAACAATGCTTTTATCAGATGACCTCTGGAAAAGCAGCAGTAAAAAAGATGTAGGCTCGACTTAAACAAAAACTCAGGGTTGGCGAAGGCCTCATGTGTTCAGGAAGCTTTATCCAGATCTGTGGAGCACAGAAACTAAACGTTTAGGGGTCGTAGTTCCTCTTCCATATCTCCCTACCTGCAGAGGCAGCACCACCAGAGCCACGCAGATCATGATGACCACCAGCAGCTGGGAGGGCCAGATGCGGGGGGTGACGTCTCCGAAGCCCACCGTGGAGAAGGTGACGATGCAGAAGTAGAAGGAGTTGAAGAGCGACAGATTTTTCCCCGCCCGCTCGAGGTGCTGGATCCCACATGTGCTGAGTGGAAAAATGAGAACCAACACTCAATAACCGAAAACAATGCACCACCACAGAGACACTGAATAATGTAAAAGTGTTGTTGGCATCCATATCCATCTGAATATTAGAGGCTTCATTCACACTACAGAAGCACAGCCAGACTTTACAAACAGCTCAAATCCTCCTCACCCGGTGAACACCAGGCAGAGCAGCGTGCAGATCAGGATCAGAACCTGGTTGAACATGGCCGAGTTCGTCCGCTGGATGGCTCTGTGGACGTCATTCTGCCCACAAAACAACAGTGAACTTCAACATAGGGAGCTAAAATCTCACCTCTATTTGTGTTGAGGAAAGATATTGACTCTTTGGAGGGATCATTTCTTCCAGTAGTTAAATCCCCTACTAGTGGTGGATATTATAATACATATAATATATCTAATAACAATTATTTGGACGACTCTATTAGGTGTTTAATAGTGTTGTGTCGAGTAACATTATCACTTGTACTGGACAAAAATGTCCTGTTACATAAATATACATACTTTTATACACTTTTTGTAATATATTGGAGAATTTCACATTGTATCTCAGTAAGTCGACTTGTTTCATCTTTAGAGATGCATTTATGTTAAACGTTTATCAAATGTTCCCAATGCAAAAGCAAAAAGCTTTAAAGGTCACCTTATTATGCAAAATCCACTTCTTCATGTCTCTTCAACATCAACATGTGTCACTCCTCTTCTTCATCGTCATCTTCTACATCAAACATGTGTCCCCTCTTTCTTCAATGTCTCTGCTACATTAAACAACATGTGTCCCCTCTTATTCATGTCCTCACTTCTACATCAACAGTGTTTCCCTCTTCTTCATGTCTCTTCTACATCAACATGTGTCCCCTCTTCTCCATGTCTCTTCTACATCAACATGTGTCCCCTCTTCTCCATGTCTCTCTACATCAACATGTGTCCCCTCTTCTCCATGTCTCTTCTACATCAACATGTGTCCCCTCTTCTTCATGTCTCTTCTATCACACACCATGTGTCCCCTCTTCTTCATGTCTCTTCTACATCAAAGTGTCCCCTATTCTTCATGTCTCTTCTACATCAACATGTGTCCCCTCTTCTTCATGTCTCTTCTACATCACCATGTGTCCCCTCTTCTTCATGTCTCTTCTATATCACATGTGTCCCCTCTTCTTCATGTCTCCTCTACATCAACATGTGTCCCCTCCTCATGTCTCTTCTTCTACATCACATGTGTCCCCACTTCTTCTAGTCTCTTCTACATCAACATGTGTCCCCTCTTCTCCATGTCTCTTCCACATCAACATGTGTCCCTCTTCTTCATGTCTCTTCTACATCAACATGTGTTCCCTCTTCTCCGTGTCTCTTCTCCATCAACATGTGTCCCCTCTTCTTCGTGTCTCTTCCACATCAACATGTGTCCCCTCTTCTTCATGTATCTTCTACATCAACATGTGTCCCCTCTTCTTCATGTCTCTTCTACATCAACATGTGTCCCCTCTTCTTCATGTCTCTTCTACATCAACATGTGTCCCCTCTTCTTCATGTCTCCTCTACATCAACATGTGTCCCCTCTTCATGTCTCTTCTACATCAACATGTGTCCCCACTTCTTCATGTCTCTTCTACATCAACATGTGTCCCCTCTTCTCCATGTCTCTTCCACATCAACATGTGTCCCCTCTTCTTCATGTCTCTTCTACATCAACATGTGTTCCCTCTTCTCCGTGTCTCTTCTCCATCAACATGTGTCCCCTCTTCTTCGTGTCTCTTCTACATCAACATGTGTCCCCTCTTCTTCATGTCTCTTCTACATCAA